CTTTGAGTGTTGCTAACGTTTCCTGTTCCCAGTGTATTTTTGAGTGAATACGGCAATTTTTTTTCGAAGTTTTGAATCTGAAGGTGAACTAATTAAAAGTTAAATTTTTAAATTCTTTTGCTAGTGAATTGAATTTTAACATAGCTTTTTTAGCGGAAAATTGATTGCTGCATAACTTTTAGCTAACCACTGGTTGCTCCACATTAATTAATCGTCGACGTACAGATCCAATATTCATGATAATTTGTTTAAATGGATCTGGGTTAGTGACGGTTACCAGGCTGTACGTATAAATGAATTTAGAATTCCAGAATTCGCTTTAGTTGCATTGCGCTTTGTTCTTTTTAATGCACATAACGGTGCAATTCGCGCGATTATTGATAAGCTGATAACTGAAAATATGCTTGTCTCTGACAATTATTAATAATCTCCAAAAAGATTTGAATAGTTTGGTTTTCAAGAAAAATAAATAAAATCTTAAAAATAAAGATAAATATGCAAATGCAAAATGTTTCAAATTTGCTAAAATATCTGATTTGCCCAACTTTATTTTTCGTTTTCCAATATTATTTATTTTCTTTTGCCGTTGTTTTCTATTATTGTGTTGAAAATTCTGATCATCGCTTATTAATTGTTTTAATTTACTTTGTCCGAACATTCTAAGAATTCTTCCAGAATTTTACACCTCGCAAATAAATCAGCAAATTTTCTTGTTTATATATCCACAATTAGAATGAGGAAAGTGATGGAAGTGAAAGTTTTCTTTCTTCTTTCTTTCTTTTCATGCACCATGTTTTAGAAGCGACTTTCCTTTTCACCTTTCCTAGGTTCATTCATTTAAGCGAATTTACCGTAAAATTTCCTACCTCATTTACTTTGGAACTCAGAGAATAAGCAGGAACAAGCAAGACCGGATTTTTACTTATTAGATTTTACATGGTTTTATTAAAATGAATTGGCAAAATAAATATTACGGTTTACCCTTAAATGCCATCAGACATGCTGGGTAAACCTATTTGCAAGACTAATGCTATAGTTCTGGTAATTCCTTCCTCAGAAGCATTAATTCTTCGCATTAACTCTTTCTATATTTTAAAAATAACTTTACTGGTGAAACGTGTCGTTAATCTTGCATTCAACCACAACCAATTGATGAAATAAATATTTTAAATATTGATAAAATATTTGATGAACTGGTTTGTTATTTTTGTTAATTTATTAACTCTAGTTATGCTTGATTGTTCTTTTGATGATAACATTATTAGTACTATTTTATGTTGTTGATAAAACATGCATAACTTCATAACTTTTAGCTTGTTCTACGAAATAAATAATTTATTTATTGGAGCAAGGTAGCTGAGTGATAAGTTGCTTCGTCGAAAGCCGAGCGATCCCTTGATGTAAGTAAATCCGCCACTGAAAATGAAATTTGGATAGTGCTGAAAGCCCAAGTACATCTATTGCCAAGGGATTTTCTGGTGAAAGAAGGTATCCGAGCAAGTGGATCCGAGAAAAGTTCAGATTGTCAGGATAAATTATAGGAAAGGATTTTATTTACAATTACACTAAAACAAATTAAACGGTGCAGATGCATGTGCTGAGCGTGAAAACAGTGAATCGCACTTCCTAATATTTATTATCCAATAAAGATTTTAGTTTTAAGATTCTTTTTAAGGATAAATTTTTTTTCGGCTATTGCTATATATTTTCTGCCATCAGCTCATTGGTAACAAGAAAACCATCTTGTTCAAACATAAACTCTTTTATTCAAGAAACGTTATTTTTATAAATTTGAAATCACTAGTGAAACATGAAATATGGGAAAAATATATAAAAACTAGGAATTATGCAAAAATTATTCATTGTTCCATGAATTTGAAAAAAAGCAGAAGGTTGATAAATGCGTTTTCGAGGATACACTGGATACTCAGCAGAGTTCCATGAAGATATTACTATGCCCAACTTTTCACCTTTACTCAGAAAAAAGGAAATATAAGACAATACACCACTGTAGCGGTACTAAAGAAGATAAAATCACCGCGTCTCATACGGTATAAAATTTTGCAAGAAAATTTATTCGTAATGTTCATACTAATGTTCATACACGTGTAGGAAACACGATTTCGCTGGGGTCTCAGTGTTTAACAATTGCTAAACAGTTGTTTGAATAATCTTCGAAGAAAAGCACAAACGTAGTGAAATAATCTGCACCATATGAAGGACGAAGACAATCCATTTCTTTAATCAGTTGGATAAGCGAGACTACGGTAGCTAAAAGACGGATGAGCCTGATTTCATTTTTTGCAAACTTCTCTATAAGAAACATTCACATTCGACTCGTTAGCTGCCCCTTCCGTGGACCCCGTCCGATATTATTCGATAATGACACGCAAGACATTTACACATAATTTTTCGCAATTATTCTGCAATTCCTCATCTGAAGAAAATTCTTACGCTTTTAGACGGCCGAATCGGTGGGTGCTTCGAAATAAAATCAACTGTTAGAGCTTCTGTCTTCTCTTAACGAGAGTAAAATTGCCCTTTATGAGAAATGAAATCCGATGGGTGCTTGGGAAATGCCACCAAAGAATTCTCAAGCGGAGACGCATAAAATTTTTCTTTATCGCAATTCACCTTTTCAAAATATTTCCAGTGCTTTTGAACAATTATTCTTCGATAATTCCATCAAAATTTTTTTCGAAATTAATTTTTTGTCACATATTATATATGCCAAAATAACTCCGAAAGAAGCAAATCTGCCGTTAAAAAATGTGGGTTATGCTAACGACCCACCTGTAATTCAGTTGCATCTGCAACAACCCTTTTCCCTGGCAAAGAACCCATTTCCATTTGTATTCTCTGGCCGTGCTAACCAAAATAGTTGGTAGCCTAATCAAAATGGTTGGCAATCTTATTTGTATATGTTTTTCCACAAATTAGAGGAAAAATGCCATTGTTTTCCGTAGTAGTTTGGTTACAATATTACTTTATAAGTGGTGAAATAATTTTAAACTGGAAGTAAATATAACCAAAAATAAGAGGGCTGTAACAGAGTAATGGAACTCAAATATATTTTCGTTATCTAATAATCATAATTAAAAATTAATTATTAATTATTAATTAAGTTAATTAAAGTAAATTATTAGTTATCGACCACTACTTATATGCTTCAGCTTTTTCCACTCACTGTCGATAGAAGAAATTCTCATCTTCGAATCTTTCATCGGAGCATTAAAAATTATTTATGAGGTGACGGTTTTACAGTTTGAAAATAATAAACAAAACCACAATAAATAAAAATAAATAAAAAATTCTAATATTTCAACAATACAATTTTGATTGACTGCAGAAATAAATCAACAGTATTCAGCAGTACTCTTAATCTTTATAAAAATCTTAAAAGAATAAATAAATAAGAATAAATTTTAATAAATCTTAAAATAAACTCAATAAATAATAAGAAATTTTTGGATCGTTTCATTCACACATAAATAATTGCACATTCACATTCTGCCGGTCCAAACGCCAGAGGTTCTTTTTTTTAATACTCCCTTCCCCCCTCATCCCACACCTTAAAATTTCATTATTTCCCTTTAAAGAGATGCAGATACTGTTAGGAATATAGTATAGTGAAAAATCAAAAATGGACTAAGAGGACTTCGAAAACTGTGGAGATGGATTGAATGTTAAAAGGAGATAATGTGGTTAGCGGATACTAAAAAAAGAACAAAAATTTTTTTGTCTCTTTTATACATTTTCAATTTCAGCATATTTTTTCTAATTTCAATTTCACAAGACCTGAAAACACTGTGAAGATACGAATGCAAGTAAAAGTAAAAGTTAAAATTTAAATTTCCCTAACTGAGGAAAAATTCTAAAAAATAAAATTTTCACGCATAAGGAAGTCATTTAATCTATTCACTCAATTTGTTAAAAAATTTGCTAAATAAAAAATTCAGTGAAATAAAACATAAAACTTTGATCCTTTCCTTGATGCATTAATCATTTTTTTCTGGTCAAAAGTTTAGTTAAAGATCCAGGCGTCCAGTCACAACAAGATTTCTCGACTGATTTGTGGTATATTTGTTCCTCAATAGTGTCGCGCATAACGAAGTGATGAATTGTAATATCTCGGTTCTGGCCAATCCGATCAATGCGACCAATTGCCTGCATTGATTCAATTTAAAGAAATTAAATTTTGAATTTACTTTGAAATAACAGAAGTTTATTTCGGATATCATTTGCAAAGAACGTAATTTATGAACATTAATGAATCGTTGATGTAAATTTCGAAAGATGCAACCAATTCTACCTGAGCAACCATAGTAGCATCGATCTGCGGTTCTATGAAAATTATATTATTTGCGACTGTAAGATTGAGACCACATCCACCTAAGTTTATAGGCAAAATAAGGACCTGAATAAGGATCTGACGGTCAATAACAAGGACTCCTTTAATAAATAAATAATTAAATGAGCTAGGGAAGGAACTATTATTAAAAGTTAAATCAACAGCAAACAATTATCGAGACCTGAATTTCTTGCTGCAAACGAAATTCAGCCAAAACCTCTTGACGCTTCCCTCGTGAAAAATTTCGAAATGGTATTTGATTATCTGCAAGCATTTCGCAAACAACGGGTATTAGCGCGTTCGACGATGTAAATAGCAAAGTCTTTGATTGAGAATCACGAATACGGATACATAATAATCGCCTAATAACAGCATCAAGCTATAAGCAAAAAATACTAGATTTCAAAGCCAAACGATTTTAAAGATTACTTTTGTCACAACTACAAGCTTTCAACTAATATAAAAACTTCATAGAATGAAATTTTTTCAAGAAAAAAATTAACACAACAAAAATAAAAGGATTACTTTGACTGAAACAAAATTTGCCAATGTCACCGAAGGACAATCCATATAAACGTTTGAAGTTTGAAATGTCACATAACTAGCCTCAGCTACATCAAAATGTTGTCGACAACTTGGACAAGATCGCCTATAAAATAAAATGGCTTGCAACTTCAGTTAACAAAAAAATAGAAAAAAACGTTAACCAGTTAGCCAAGCGATGAAAGCATTGTGGGCAAATACAATGAGCACAAGGTAGCACAACCCATGAAATATTAATTGAATTATAGCAAATTGGACAATCTCCTGGGGTCTCATTCCGGACATTCAAGAGATAACGCATTTTTCCATGCAATCTAGTTTGCAATAACTGGCTTCTATTCAATCGACCAAGAAAATCCAAGCGCTATAAAAGAATATGTTATTAAAAATATATAATAAATATAAAAATATATTATTAAAAATTAAACAGAATTTTTTAGCAAATCAAAATATACTGATTTTTTTCAAATTTTTAAAAAATAAAATAATATGGGATAAAAAAGAACCAGTGCACTTTCAGATCCTTTCGATACATAACAATTCGCAAGGTAAAGTTGATTATCATTATTACTGCCTAATTTATTATCATCAACGCATTTACTTTTGTATTGTAATCTGATCTTGCTCATTCGTATTTCATCCCTAGAAAAATCTGAATGTTTTGGATATTTTTCGTAATGATTCCAGTTACCAAATGAAATCGTAAAATAAAACTTACAATAAAGAAACATAATGCCTTGATGCTTCTAAAACTTGGCTTGCTTGTTCAAGTAATTTCTTGCAATCACCAATATAAGAAATGCAAGAACTAATTCCCTTAACTAATTCATCACTAAAGCTGCTTGAATTGACTATTATATTTCGCACCACTCTTAATATTACTTCAGTGCTGGATGGTTTACGATTTCCACCTTTCACTTTAGTTTCTGAAGAGACATATAACAATGGTTCCAAACGCTCTATTTCCTTGCATAAGCAACATAATATACATCTGCAAGCACATATCTAATTTATGAATGTTTTCTTCTTTCTTTAACAATGTTGAATAATTTAATAATTAAACAAAAAAAATGAAGTAAATCTGAATAAATTTTTTTTCTTTCCTTTTTGTTCAACGAAATCTGAAATTTTAACTGAAATTTAACGAGGATTCGATTTCTATTCAAAATTTTTTGGCATATAAAGAATTTATTTCAAGGATTGAAGATTTAAAATGTTAATACAAACAGTTAACTCTTATTTTTTTGGCAAAAATTTGATAAATTTTTCAATTTAAAAAAAATAATAACTTCTTTAAAGAGCGTTTTGTCTGCAAAAAATCACAATCGATTATTGCGTTAATTATATTAGGTACTGCCAATGATTCATCGACCTTTATATTTGCTAAAACGTCTTCGAGTTTTATTGTCACTCGATTAGCATGTTCTATTATCTTATTCCAGTGGTTAAAAACGACGAAGCTAATTCCATTTGTAGTACTGCAACAATTCTGAACATGGAAAAATACCAAAAAATATTAAAGAGTAGATACTTAACAATTTTTATAATAATAAAAGAATAAAAATAAAAATTTAAAAATAAATTACTCAGGGATTTTTATGAAATTGTTGTCACAAAAATTTTTCAACGTTTCGATCAATTTATGACCAACTGTTGAATGCTCAATAGCACTGAGTGATTCATTAAACCAACCAATCACCATTTTCTTCTGAAAATCATGGTGTATCGTAAAATTAATTATGCGATAAAAGACTGCGCATTATAAAGTAACGAAAATTTCACCTCAACGAATAACTTCTTCCAATTTTTCACAGAAAGTTCAGCAGCATTCAAAGATGGACATAACGCATTTATTGCATGTTCGAGGTACTTTCTTTGCAACTCATTTTGCTAAATTTTAAAGATGATGAAACGAATTTAACAACCATAAAATAAATGAATATTAAAACAGCTTGAAATCTACAAACAATGAAAAAAAAATTTCATAGAAACCAACTAGCATCACAGCTTTTTCTAAATCCATTTCTTCTACAGCAACACCTTTTTTGATCAAATCTATGATGCCGTTTAGTGTATGGATTTGTTGAAGGCGATCTGTTCTCAACTTTCTAAAAAAGCAATCCAATCGCTAATAACTCACAAAAAAAAGATGCATAAAAGATGTTTCTCACAAAACAGCTGGTTCCATTTTCAAAAAAAATGATATATAATCAGATTTTTTGCTTTTTGGAAAAAATATGTTTGCTTTTGAAAAAGTAGATAAAGAACCGGAAGGGTCCACTTTCTTCAACGAAACCGAAGACTTTATTCGAATCATCCAGAGCTTTCATCGACGATAATATACCATTGTAATGAAAAGCAACTCCAGAATGATTATTTAATAACCATTCTATTCCAGCAAGACCTAAATAATAGCTTCGATTTATGCGGAATATTAAATTTAAGTACAATTCGCGAAATGAGATTCACATTTCAGTAATCAACAAACTTTTCATACTTTCATTTTTACTAATTCTTTAATATTAAATGTGCTATTTATTACACTATATATATTCTGTCCTTTGTTTTCTTTTTGAATGTTGTTAGTAACAAGTACATAAAGTAATAAAATAAACTAAATTTCACGAAGAAAATCCCATAAAATATTTTTTTCTTTGGATTATGGTCAATCGTGATTTTTGTTCTTTTAAAGGAAAGAACGAGCGACTTTCTGAAATGGCCTCATTCCAAGGGGAAAGCCATCCATATCAGAGACAGTGACTGAAGAAAAAGAAATAAATTCTTCTAATTCTCATTTTACCATTCATGCAAAAAACAATTTCTCGTTGTTGTTCTTCAATGCGTCTGGTCGTTTCTCGAATTAAACTTTCATGCATAGCTTCAGCGCTAGTTTTAGTCTTGACCTGAAGAACAAGGCAACATTTAATAGTTATATTGCTACGGTCCTCTTGGCAAACAATAAAAAACTACTAACGTTTAAAGACAAAGTTGGTAAGGAAATAGAATGCCGTAGCTGCTGCAAAGGTCTCATCAATTTTGAAAAATCCTGCTTACTTAAATTATTAATCGAATCATTAATTCCACATTTCGCATCTAGGTGAAATTCTTCAATAATGGTAAAAATATAAAAAAAGAAAAAAATTTCTTTTAGTCTTTCAAAAATTATATTATTTATAATTATAAATTATATTTCCTTTACTTTTCTAAATTTATATTATTTATGAGAAAATTTATTGTTCCCAACAATTCCTCTACACTAAAAAAAATCAAAAATAAAGATCAACAAATATAAATACCGTGATGAAAACCAAAAAGAAATTGACGAGAACATTTTTGTAAAGCTTCTTGATACATCTGCTGCTCTAGTGGATTAAAATTGAGATCGATCAATACTGATCGTCTTAAACCACAAGTAATCTTTAAATCAAATTTATATACAGTAAATGTTAAAAAGCCCATTTGATAAAAATATTAGGCCTTTCACAAGGCTCTTAACTTCACGAAACCTGTTTCGAAACATCGATTTTCTTGTTCCTCCACATAATTTTTGAAAATAAATTGATTAAAGGGGAAACTATTCCATTTTGATAAGGGAACCAAATTGAATTTTTCCACCATGTCTGATTGCAAAATGGTTCAATTCCAAGAAAGCAAACCAATCCAAAAAGATCTATAAGACGAAAAACACAAGATCAATTTTCTTTGATAGTCACATTTATTTAATAATTTTCTATTTATGAACCATAGAGAAGATTTAAAAATTACTTTCTAGCGAGTTAACAATAGGTGTACCAGTTATACACCAACGATTCACCGCAGATAATTTCCAACACATTTCCGATATAATACTATTCGTGTTCTCGACCATCTGAGCTTCATCTATGCAAATCTATAAAAATCATAGTTTAAAGAAAGAATTATTGAAAGAATTAGTATGAAACCATCCTAATATGTTTATCCCAAAATTAAAACAGATACAAATTATACGGTTCAAACAAATTTCTTCTCTTTTCTTTTCTCTTGAAAATTTTGAAATGAAGAGTAGAAAGAATTTGGTACAATAAATTCATTAAATAAAGAGTGGTATCAATTTTCCGATCTGGTTTAAATGGAGTCTTTCATTTTCACTTAAAATAAAGATAAATGAAGAGTAAATTGAAAAAATACCCTCCACCAATCCACAGAAAGAAGAGGTGATCGTACTGATCGACGTCGTTTATTACGAAGTAGCACTAAAAACGCAAAAAGTACATTTATACGAATCTTTTTAAAATATTTTTCTTAGAATTAAACATAATTATATCTGCCAAAAGCGAGGAGATCCAATCATGAAACCTAGTTATATTTAGGATTAGCAGGTGGAAAAGGAGTTAAGTTCCATTACTATCAGATATGATATCAGAAGAGAGGATCCTCATAGCCAGTTAAAGCAGCCTAATGAAAGGTATTGCCAGAAGATTATGAAATGGAACTATCTCATTTGGAGAAAATAAAAAATACCCGATCGGCAATTTGCTGTGATGCGATACACTTCTCTTCGAAGTATTTCTAAGGGACAAATTAAAATATCAAGAGTTTCCAAATATTTTGGATGCATGAATTGACCATCGGTTGTGCCATTATATATCTTCAAAAAAAATTTAGGCTCATTAGAATTTAAAAAACTTCAGACCATATGGTAATGGTATAATATTAGCTTGCATATCACTTTATAAATTATATTATAATACTTTATATATCATCAGTACTTTAAAATGAATTTTTTTAAATGAAAAAATATTATAAAAAGCCAAATACATTTGATTTTTAAGTTTTTCTCAGAAAAAATGTGAATGCAAAAAAATTGAAAAAAATTATCTTACATCTACTGCAACGTTTGACCGTATATGGCGTTTTATTTCTTCATACCACTGATGGCATATTGTAGCTGGAGCTATAATCAGTGTTGCTCGAATCGGTAAAATATCGTCCTTCAAGACATCATACTATACAAATTCGAACCGAAAGAGTAGTGAAACGAAAAGTTTTGAAAAAATTAAAAAAGGATATGGAATTTTCAGGTTTAAATTCAAACAATAAGTAATAAAAACTCAGTTAATAAAAATGAAAATGGAATTGATTGGGGACATTTTTTGAATAATTCTGATAAATAAATGAGAAATAAAATTGAATGTTGAGATACTGTCAATATGAAATAATAAACAAGTCACATTTTCAATGCAGTGAGGACAATAAAAAACGGTATTGGAAGAATCAAACTGGTCCCAAAAAACATCTTTTTTCTGATATATTTCACCACATTTTTCGCATCGAATTTCTTTTTTATTATATGAACAAGATTTCATAGTGATTTCAAAAAAATCGACAAGACTTCTCTTTCGACGTCTCGACAATTTCTGTAAATTTTTAGTAAACTTATAAATTTTTATATGGCTAAGATAATGTGATAATAACACGAATAAAATACCTTTTTGAAAAGTTTTTCACAACCGTCGATAGAAGCAACAACGTTCGATATTAAATCATTAACTATAATTCTGATCTCATCAATTATTTCAACCTTCTCATCACTCATTGAAACACTACCATCACGTTGATGAGTCATAATTAGACTGAGTATTTCGACTGTTTTTCCTAAGCCCATTTCATCCGCTAAAATTCCTCCTAAAAAATTTTTGTTTAAGTAGTGTAACGCTAAATTCTCGGTGGATTCTGAAAATTTACCAAAGTTCCTTAAGAAATTTGGTACTTCATCGCTTTTAAACATAGCCCCTGAAATAGGGGAAAATAATAATGATGGTGTCGTTGGCAAAACAACAAACGAATTTCTTGACAGATAATCGCTCGATGGATTTAATTCACGAGTTAACAAAAAACGTATAGCATCTTTCTGAAAACCTCCATTGAAATAAGCTAAAGATTGTAATTAGGTAGACTAAATGGGTGATTTTAAACTGAAAAAATAAACAAAATTAGGAAATTTTAAAAATGGAACAAAAATACCTGATAAGGACGTAAAGAGGGTATAATATCATTCACATTGATAGACCATTTGTCAATAGGAGATCGAGTATGTGATATCAAATCATAAAAGTTGATGGATTCATTATCATATTTCACGTTATTACTCTTACAAATAGGCGTCACCTTAAATAAGTGGTTAGAGATAATTATTTCTGATTAGACTAGCTGCATCCACTGTTAGTTAGTTACCCGCATTCATTTAATGACAACATTACTCCTGTCGGGGAATGGTTCAAGAACTATGCTACTAGACCTAAATCGAAGCAATCATATCACTCGAACATTTTTGCTTTCGCTTAAAGATCGCCTTAAAAATTTTTAAAATGTTGAAAAGTTTGAAAGTAATATAATCTAAAAAAAAACTTGCGATTTTCTTAAGAAAAATTCGCAATTTTCCTTAAAACAATATTAAAAAACAATATTACAATATTAAAACAATATTAAACAATATTTTAATCATAAAATATTAAAATAATCAAGAAATAAGAATTAACTAACCAAGTGAGGGAAAAAGAATGAAAAAAAAGAAATAATATTGTGCGAATTGTTGATACCAAATGGTGCCCAGTTAGAAGGATCAACCAAAACAGATTGTTTAGCATATATTTTTAAACTTATTGATTCATCATTTAGTGAGATGATAGTTTCAAAAAAATTCCTAACACGCCTGTAACTGAATAAATTTGCTGGTTTGATCAGCTAAAAACTATGGAACTAATAAAACTAAAACTCTTCTTTTGCAATCCCTCCTATTTGAAAATATCCCTTTGTTAAAAAAAAACCGATAAATCTCGAACTTTTTTTCTACGATTTAATAATTGAATATTAGAAATCGAAAAAAGTTAAAAATAAAAATGAAAATTACCCGATAAGTTCAATTAGCTCTCTAAATTTAGAATTTTTTTCAGCAATAAAACGTAAAGACAAATCATCGTCCCAATATTTTCTTGATTTATTGCCAATTCTTAATATACCGATCTAGAATTTTTTACGAGACCATTAATATTTCAGCGAAATTAAAACTAAAAATAAATAAAATAAAATTCGATGAAAAACCTTTATAAAAGAACAATCATCACAAATTGAAGCGCAGAGCCGTTGAAAGTTTGAAAATTTTCGAGAAACTTCTAAATTTTCAGGATAAGCCTCGACTGTTCCTATTAGAACAGATAATTTGGTTTTTGTGCAGTTCCAAGAGAATATAAAATTCATCAATGATGGCTGAAAAAAAAATCATAAAGGACAAGATAGTCAGATAGACAAGAGAGCAAAAGGTAAATCGCCTCAATGAAAGTCGATTTCTATTTCCTCTTGACGGAAACAAACTTGTTGTCACGGTAAAGCTGATTTTTACCACTTCCGAATGACTCTTCAGCGAAATGTTTTATCTAATATCTAGTAAGATCAATTAAATTACAAAGTAGTACCATCAGAATAAAAAAAATTATTGCACCAATTTATTAAGGCCAATTTATTTCCTCTTCCTTTGCTCAAATTCTATGACTTTTGTTTAAAAAAATAAAAGTGACCGAAAATGAAACTGCTTCGAAAAAAAGAAATAAAAGAAATTCGCTATTTTCTCCAATATTTCAAAAGTTCTAAAATACCGGATTTTTCAAATGGCATTTAATCTACTAAGTCACCTAACTGCTTATCATGAAGTGAAAAAAAGACAAACCTCACAGATGTGTCGAGCTGAGTGCTCGACTTCGGTATCCATCTTTCCTTCACTCACTCTTCTTTCTTCATTTACCCAGTAATCGCTTTGCCGTTTTCCTATCCAATTATTCGATTATCTTAAATTTATACCACTTTGTATTAATCTTAAAAAAATAAAGCAAAAAAATAAAGTGCACATATAAAAACTATTTTCTCACTATCCGATATTTACCACAGACCGATCGCGAAATACTTTAAATGTTTTAAATTTCCCCTTCTTCAGACTCTTTATATTCGTTCGCTTATGAATGGATGAGACAAATATCGGATAACAGAAAAGCAACGAAAATATACAAATATATTAGATACGATTATTATGAAATACAAAGGAACCATAAGAAATAACAGTCATATTTGCGGTATACAGCAATGTACAATTTCGATAAGCGTCAACAGCAATAATCTCATCATCAATCTCCAACGGATATGGAATATTTACCAAGGAAGAAATATTTGATAATTGTCCAAAATTATTCCAACCCCAAACGTAAACATTATAATCATCTGATAAGGCAATACTGTGCCATGAACCACATGCTATGTCAATGATTTTTAATGAACTTAAAAATTCGATTTTTTTTGGTATTTCTTGGTTATCGAAGGAGCCTCGGCCTAATTCGCCATGGTTACCATTACCCAAACTATAAACTTCTCCGAGACTACTCAATAAAAGTGCATGACCATTACCGGATGAACATTTGATAATTTCCTCACTTATTTCGCAATTCATTGCTGGCGCTTCGTTTTCGTTATTTTCCGCGAAAATTTCGCGCAAATTAGATCCTTTCTCCTTATTGCTTATCAAATAACAAATTGTTCCTACCGTAAATATTAAATGATCATTTTTCGTTTTAAAATTAGTTTTTGGAATATTACAGTTTTTTAAATGAAACTCTTTAGCATTCAAGTGGAGCAGTTCGCTCGACTCATACATTTCCAGTTCATCCGTCAACGACGAATCATTCACCTTTGCTGTCGCCGCTACTGTTGTTGCTTTCTGAACGTCAGATAGCTGACGAATTTCGTCGAAATCCATTTTAATTGTCGTCGAACTGACTGCCGTTTCAGCGAAATTTTTTTGCTCGTCAAGAAGATTGAGAATCGAAATTTTGAATGAATTAATATTTAATTTATAAACTTTCCAGTGGAATGGAATTAAAAAGAAAATAAAATTATGCGTTTCGCAAAAACCTTCAACGACCCCGTCGAATTCGACTTTTGTTTTACTTTGCAACAGAAAATTTCGAATAATTGCAAAAGTTTTTGATGAATTTTTATACGATTTTAAAATCATAAAAATATCACCAAAGTATGACAAAATTCGACGTTTTTCATTCGTTGCAAATGACATTTCTAAAATTGTTTTTCTCGTTTAAAAAGTGATATTGTTGCAACGTTTCCTTCCTGTAGTATCTTTTATTCTTATAATAAACCTTTTTATTAAATTCTACCCAATTCCTTCGCAAACTTTAGCCGAAACACTTATTTTATTAAAAATTTACATACTTTCGCAAAAAACAAAGTGGCAGCAACCGACAAATAGACCGGCTATCCGAACTATAGACCCATATATGACAACTTCGGCTTATATCTAAAAGTCAGCGAACTTTCGATTTGTGTGCGTGGTTCATGCTAGCTGTTGGTCCGTTGCGTTTTGTGGTTCTTATTATCTTTTTGTTCGAGGGATGTGGAGTGGGGTGTTGGTTCTTGCAGGTCTACAGCTATCCTTGGTATCATAGGGTATCCTTTACCCTCTTTTTCATTTTTCTCCTCTTTTTTTTGCATTTTATTCTTTTTACTAAGGTTTTATCTCTTTTTTTTACCTCTGCTTTTTCTTCTGTTCCATCTGTTCATAAATTATTTTTCTGAAATCTAGTTAACTGGATGAAATGCCTTATTAATTTCTCTGAAATTATGCGAAACCGTGTTGGGTGAGGGACAAATATTTGGTATATTATTGAGGTGCTTGCTCATGAACAAGTGCTCGACCATAATTTTACTTAAAAAATGTTCTTGGTTGTTTCTTTTTTGTTTCTCACATTTAACCATTGTCAGTTTTTTTATTTGAACAAATAATGTTATTTTTTTCTAAGAGCAATCGCCATTGTTGGTTAGGATCGCTTCACTGGTTTGTCGAAGCAGATAGTGAGACATTTGGCGATGGAGATACAAGTAAATCGCCAGATCACCCGGATTTTTGACGGCTTATTCCTGCGACACGTAGAGCTCCAACATCGGTAAACTGAGTCACTGTGAAGCAGCCCAAGCCATTCTACTTCTATCCCACATTGCTTTCGCCGTTCTACTGATTGTCGATGTATGAAACTTGGGTTGTTAGCCGAGTTCGAACCTTTCTTAACCATTCGCAATTCTTGGAAGTGTTCGTCTTACCACTAAGGCACCGATTCACCCTTATTATTGTTATTATTATTATTGAATATTATTGTTTATTTTTGTCATTAAATTGAAACTAAATTGATGAAAATGAAATTTTTAAACATTTTTTCTCTTTTAAGTGAATGTTTATTGACTGGTAAAGATGCAATGCAAAACGAAAGCTCAGCGTTTCGATGTTTTACGACTTTATCAAGGGCGTTTAATCAAAATTAATTTAGCAGTCGTATTGGAAAATAAAATTATCGAAGTAAATTACGAGTAACAACGCATTGAATAATAAAATGTAAAAAAAAATCTTGAAATATAGAGATTGACTGAGTTAGCCAAACTTTTTGACATTTGAACTGAAGTTCGGAAAAAAGGTGCTTTACTGATTATATTTTGCGTTATCAGTCAATAAACATTGATTTGAATTCTTATCAATTTTCAATACGTAATTTTCGTACATTATACAGCAATTTTCGTACAGAGAAAGTTTGAGTTTCTTGAAAAATATTTTTTCAGTTTTTTTCGTTCATTCAATGAACTTTTCTGCTGAAGATGTTTCACGACCACACACATATGCTTATGAAAATATTTATCGAGAAGTTTGCATAATAAACTTTAAAATTGGTTTAATAAATCTGGTTAAATAATATTTTTACTATTAATCAGCGTACCACACACCATCCCACATTATTAAATCTTCTGTTTTGATCTATCGGCTTGGTATTTCACCTAAAATTTATTTTCCGTATCCTTTTTTCTGGCATTGTTTCTTTAATAGTAGGTAGAATTGTGAGTTAATGAATGATTATTTTGATAATCGAAAAATAAAGGTTTTTTTATAAAAATGATTTTTAAAGGGTCAATAGTGATAATTTTACTGGTGTTTTTGCAGTTAAATTCTCAAAATCGAGATACAGTAGGAGCGCAAGAAGCAGCAGCATTTCTTAAGCGATCAAATTTGGATATAAATACTCTCGGACAGGTTGATTTTATGTATATGGTTTTAAATAACACTGAACAACGTTATAACACTGAATTATAAGACATTATATTTGGCACTGGGCTCTTTAAAAATTTGTGATAAGTATAGTTTCAGATTTGGGAAGTAGCAGATTATCACAAGAAGGGATATTTGGATAAATTGGGAGCTTTTATTGCTTTCAAATTAGTTGCTGCTTGTCAGCAGGGTCATCCGCCTTCGATTGCTTCGCTATCACTCAATCTCAGTCCACCATCATTCGCATCTCGTTCTGCTACTCCATCAATACCCAGTTTTGGAAATCTTGCTATAAGCGATAATTGGGCGATAAATGCTGTTGAACAAACCAAATATGAGTCGATATTTGATGGTTTAAATCCAGTGAATGGCAAACTTTCTGGTGACAAAGTCATTTTTTTATTTTTTATATCATCTATATATGTAATATATGTTATGTTGTGGTGTTTAATATTGTTCGTTTTTAATTTTTTTTTGGTTTCAGGTCAAACCAGTTCTATTGAATTCAGGTCTACCAGGACCTTCACTGGCGAAAATTTGGGACTTGTCGGATATAGATAAGGTTCTTTCTGCAGATTTCTATAAATTTATAAAATTTGCAAATTTGTAAATTTGTGATTTGTTTTACAAAGCTTAGGACGGACAACTTGATCGTATTGAAATGTGTGTGGCTCTTCATCTAGTGTATCGTTCACTTCAAGGAGAAGCGATTCCAGTTGTACTTCCTGCATCTCTTATTCATCCATCAAAGAAAAATTTTCGTAAATTTTCCGTTGGAATTCCTTCTGCACCAAAGACACGTAAGTTTAAAAAAATTTTGACGGGACATAATTTAGTTATAAACTTGAAAATTTTCCACGGGTCTATGTTTAAATTATCTTAAATTGTTCTTTATCTTTCCTTTTCCTTAGCTTTATTTTTTTGGATTATAAAAGTTAAAAAATTTAGAATGGGGTGAACGCCGATCAAGAACAGGATCGGTTGCTTCACTGGATATAAATTCAGCACCGTCATTTCAAACGAGTGGAACGATGCGTTCACAAAGCGTGCAACCAACGAGCCTTACATCACCTATTTTGTCTTCAGTCTGGCATTATTTTATTTAGTTTTAATTTTTTATTTTGCTTTATTATATCTTTAATTTTTTTTCCTAATGATTCAAATGATTTCTATTGTTCAATTGATTTCTTTTTCTTTTCTAGGATTTTTAATTTTCGATTTTTATTTATTTTTGTTTTTTCGAATCCACTATTTTTGCATAAATAAATGATATTAAATGATATTAAATGATATTTTTTAAAGAATGTACCAACTGGTTTTTCCGATAATTTGCCATGGCCAGTCCATTCATCTACATATGAACCTCGGTTTAGACAGGTTTTTTATTTACTTTTATTTTTTTGCGAATACTGCGAAAAAAATTTTTTTTTTGATGGAGGCTATTGACTGATTTCCGTCATTTTAATTTCTTCAAGATTGATACGGACAACGATGGTCTGGTTTCTGGTAATGATGTGCGCAATATTCTTTTTCAATCAGCTCTTCCACAAGCGACATTAGCTCAGCTGTGGGCATTAGTTGATATAAAAAAAAGTGGGATGATTAATTTGGAGCAATTCGCTTTAATGTTTGTTATATTTTAAAATCATTTTATACATCGTGTTTTTTTTAATATTATTTTTGTCTTAATATTTATTTATTTATATCATGTTATTTATTTATATCATTTTATTTGATTTGAAAATCTTGAATGTTCGTTTAAATTTAGAATGTATTTAATTGATGATTGTAAAAAAGGAAGAGCTGTGCCAAGTATACTTCCTTCGAACTTGGTTCCACCGTCATTTAGAGTTCCAGTCTCAGTAAATTTCGACAAAACACTGAGTTCGTCATATTCAGTAAGGTTAAAAAATTTTCTAAATACGTAAATTTCCGAAAAATTTCCGAAATTTTAAAATTTCTATTTTTTGAATGAGAATTAAGAATTCATTGATATTACTTCATAGAATATTATACCCAGTGGTAATGAAGAATTGGATAAACTCCAACATGAAATGCAAATATTAATAATGGAGAGGCGAGAAGCAGAACAGGCAATTGTTCAGCTAGAAGCAGATATAACCATCAAAAATAGTGAAATAAAAAATCTTCAGGTTCTCCTTGTATTCTCATGTAATTAATATTCGGCAGTTACAGTTCCAAACCAGTTTCAAAGTAATTTTAGATAGAATACAATACACTCGAAAACACTGTAACGCAATTGGAGCGGCAAAAAGCTGAAGCTGAAAGACGATTAGAAACGCTTGACAATCAAGTATCTCAGTTAGAGCAAACTGGTTCATCACTTAAGGAGAAATTGATAGAAGAAGAAAATAGACTGGAAAGTCTTCGAAATGAAAATATGCGTAATAAGGAAAATATTGCAGTAAGAGTCGAACATTTTGATTTTTCACTTTTCGCATCGTTCATTTATGATTTATTTTTTATGTATTTAATATATATTTATTTACATTAATTAATATTTATTAATATTTTATTTATTTAGAAAGAAGTCGAAGAATTGTCACAAACTAGGAAAAATATGGAGCAATTAGAGATGGAGAAAAATGGATTAAATAATGCACTAGCACAACGTAATGCAGTTATTGAAAACGCTGCTATTCAGCTAACAAAAGTTGCTATTTTTGTTTATGGAGCAAATTGTTTTTGTCCACACTCCATTCTCCGTACAATACATGATTGATTTAGGCTTATCTAATTATTTATCTACGGCCATTAAGTATTTATTAAAAAGTGCTAACAGAGCAACTAATTGCTTTAAATTAACGGAAATTGACGGAATGATTGAGAAATGCTCTCAAATAAAATATAAAATAAATATGCGATAGATAATCCATCTTTTTGAGTCATTTATTCTTAGCAAAATTTTTTTTCTATAGGTGAGTATATATAATGAGATTTTATTCGTTTCATAAATGATTTCAGTTGGAGAATGATGTTGCTTCTATGGAAGAAGAGTTGCAAAAATTTAACAGCGAAAACGAAAAATTAAAGGAATTTACGACACAGCTCGGTCAGTTAATTGAAAAAAAAGATACTGACGCTATTATGAATGAAAGTGGACGGTGGTTGCAAAAATTTCAGAATCTATTATCGGTAATTTTATCATTTTATCCTGATAACATCTTAATTAATATTGTCAAATAAAATAAAAATGTTTAGGCGCAGGGTTCCACGAGATACTCCGCTGCAACTCAATTTTCGACAATTGATCCCTTTCATGAAGATAGCCATGCAAGTATGTTATACCTTTAGAAAATGTTCTTTCTGATTTTTTAAAGAGAATCTCATTTTTCTTATTTTTCATGAGTATGAAAACATTATGTTAATGGCAAAAAACCATAAAATATTTCAGGTGTGGATCCGTTTGGTACTGATCCATTTTCTGCAACGAATTCTTTTGCAACATTTTCTCAACCATTTGAATCACAACGAGTTGATCCTTTCAAAAATTCATCAGAAGTTGAGAAATCTGCAGTTTCATTGAAAACTCCTCCACCACGACCTGCTCCACCAAAAGGTCGTTCGGTAAATGCGGATTCTGATCCTTTTGCATCGACGTTAGTAAATTTTTTTATCAATCAAGATATTATCTTTATTCTTTATTAAGATATTTTCCAAAAAGTTTTGGATTGGATTGTTTAATTTTTGTTTTTTTGTTTTTATGAAAAGAATAGAATAGAAAAATGAATGAATTTAGAGATAATTTGTTTAGAGATCCATTCTCATCAACGTCAGTGGCAAATCAGTTTGCGGATTTCGCTAATTTCGATGCTTTTCAGTCGTAATAATCCACTTATTATTTTCGTGAATGTTCTTTGAGGTCATCTTTCGCACGAAGAAAGAATTTTCGAATTTTTTATAATTATTATAATTGCAATATAGAAATTTGTGATAGTTTTGTTGTGATAGTTCTTTTGCACATATTATTTTCTATACCTTAATATATTTATTTGTAGAAGATTACCCTGTAAGTTGTGAAATTAAATGTTTATTCTAGTCAATTTCAGTGGTTTAGAAAAATCGGGGAGCAAATGTTTATTGTATTTAAAAATTGATAAACATCAAAAATATATAGGTCCACTTTGAGGTGAAAAATGCGGTAAAACATTCTTGCTTTCGCCACTATCATCGAATATGGTAGCCGCTGCAACGTAACAGAGTCATAGATTTTATCAGGGAATTGATAGCGTGTTATCGGAAATACCTGATTCGATATTTAGTCTTTCGACACCATTAGATGCATATAATTAATTAGCTAATTGTACACTATTATTTTAACTGCAATATTTATGATGTTTGACAAAAAAACGAAACCAGCCGCAATAAATTTTTAAAAAATATGAAAATCTTAAGAAGAGTCTTGTTTTACTTTGATGATTTGTGATGTTCCCAATAAGGCAATAAATTTGCAGTTTTTCGTCAAAAACATTCGAATAAATCGCGAAATTTGGAGTGACTGAAGTCAGTTCCATAATTCCTTGCGGGGCCGCGATGGATGTTCATCAGGTCACCGCGTGTTCCGCTGTGGTCGAATTACGAAGGGCAGTGGAACTCCAGTTCGAACACACTCGTTTCGAAACACCCACACATTCAAGTTATTTTATCACAGTTGTTGACAAGATGTGAGTGGCGAGCAGCGAGTCAGCGTCAGCACGACGAGGAGCGGGGCTGTCGAGTGGTGCTGTCGTCTCGAGTGTACTCCGGTTCTGTAGCGCCGGCAGCAGAGACCGTGGGTGCCGCTTGTGGCTCGTGTGGTGGTGCTCGCGTCGGAGATTGTCACCAAGGGGTGTCTGGTGACTTGTCGCTGGAAAGGTCGATCAGCAGAGGCCTGGGTGCTGCTCGGAGGTCCGCGCGGTACTCGCATCGTCGCTTATCGTCTCGAAATTTCCATTCAACGTGAATTTAGTTAATGAAAATATTCGAATAAAATCGATTTATTTCTCGAAATTTTCATAAATCGGAGACGAAAGTCTTTTTCACTGCACTGCTATAGTAATTTCATTCGAAAATTTATCCATTCGAAGGGATTTTTGAAAATAGAAAACATTTGCGCGCCAACGCGATTACTGTAATAAATTTGTATTTAAGGAGGATGTAAACAAGAAATTTGCGATTGATTTCTCTAAAAAATATCGCGAGTGGCGGCTGGGGTCGCGATTGGGCGCGTGCAATAGTCTCCGGCGAGCGTTAGTGGTTCTATTTATAGAATTTAGCGGCGGTGGCGATGAACGATGAGACAGTGCGGGAGGGACAGCTCAGATCGTTTTATTGCTGTTAACGCTATCTTTCCAAAAGGTCACCGGGGTCATTCGTTTCATACAATAAGCCCACTTAATTAATTAATCGTTTTTGTCGCTCTCGCTGTAAGAGAACTGTGCGCAATTGATTTGCGGCGGCGCGTCGGTTAATTCGTTGAAGTTAAGCAGCGACGCGAGTTCGACTGCTCCTCGGCTAAAGTAAAGCGAAATGCGGTCGGCTTGTTGCTCGGAAATTTACTCGCCTATCGGCGAGGCAGTCGAAAGAATCTCTAAGAATTTGTATTTTATATGAGCGAAGAGGGGAATTGGAATTTTATGAATAACCGAGATGATTCGATGATTAAACGACAACGAAAGAAGAAACTTCAGTCGATCATTGTCGATAAGCCGAACTACGCAACGTTTGAAGTTCGCTTTTTTGTTCTTTTATTGCTTGATCGGTTCTTCCTGGCGCTGCGTGAGGGAGCCGGTGCATCGCCCGACTCCGAAACTCTGGCGAGGAGGGCTCGCTGGAGAGCAGCGCAGCCAGAAAGATTCGTTCCGCCGTGCGATCCGCACACGTGAGATGCGTGGTGCTGCGAGAGGTCACTATTATGCAGTCCGCGCAGCACACGTGCACGATTCGGGTAGGCTGGCGGAAGTTATTTATCCAAAAGGAATTTATTCACTCCAGTTTAGATATACGTAATTTTCAGTTGTTTGGAAATGGTTACGATTCACCATTAAATTCGCCGCTTTACTTATCATCGCCTCCACGGTTTTCATTATTTTATTATTTATTTCTTTTATTATTTTTCAGAATATTTTATCGTTATAATATTGTTAAATCGTTATTTTCAAAGTAAAATCGTTATTTTATTATTAATTATCTTTTTTATCAATTATTATTATTTTTAGGATTATCATTTTCTTTAATTGTTATCACCGTTATCATGAAATTTAAAGTTATTAAATTTCAATCAATTATTGTCAGTTATATAAAAAATAATTATTAAATTTCTTATTATTGTAGTTTTTACTATTGTAATTAATTATTATAAACTATTAAAATTATTGTTATTCTTATCTTCGATTTTGTAATGGTCAAATTTTAATATTTTATACTTCTTGAACAAAAATCTCGGAATTTCTGACTTTTTACTTTTCTTTGAAGAATTTCCATGAACTTCAATTTTTCTTCCATAAAGTTAATGAAACATAATTCGAAACAAAGCAGTGGGAATAAATCGAAAATGATTCAAAAATTATTCGATGATTTATTTTTTTTTTTAGTTTTGAAGCAGTTGATTTTTTTCCCGAAACATTTCGAATTAATTTGGTCAGAGAACGAAATGAAATATTTATGAAAAGGTTTATTATATTCATATTTTTAAGTATTCTTTAAGAATAAATTTATTTTAAATTGTTTTTTATTTGTCGTTTCACAGTTCTCAGGTTTTTTTTATTTAATTTGGTTTTACTGGTTTGTTGTGATTTGTTTCTGGCCGCTGTCAGCTTAGCTTCTTTTAAAACTTCTTTGACAATGATTAATTGATGTGGTTGTAGCTGCTTCGATTGATCCAGGAATTCTTTCTTCCCACCACAGGTCGCTTGTCTGTCCATTCGTTCAGAGCATTTTCTTTCTAACAGTATTGTCCAGGTCTTGATTCGATCTCTACCATCGCGAGATTTGACATGTGTCAGTTCCTATGATTGGCTATAAAGAAATGTCGCTCTCTCGTCTCTAATTTTTTTGATATTGCTAGTTCCTTCATGTTTCGGCTATCTGTCTTGTTTTCTTTTTTATTTTGATACTGATTTCACGAGTTCACGAAAGTTTCTCAATTATTAGGGTTATTAATTTCGTTTTGGCTATTTTGGCCATTATCAGAGTGGCTCCAAAAACTGGCATTTCTTCAACCAGCAGTGTATTCATGGATATAGGTATTTCATAGATATAGGTTTTAATACCATGCTGCACCATATATATCAAAAATGGTAATCGATTTTTGAGACGATGTTCCTATACCTTCATTATCGTTAATATTTGGTCTGCGCATCTTGGTCCTAAATCCAGATTACAGCGCATCCTATAGACACGTAATCCTGTCACAACACCTTCATCCCGTCACGTTTATTCTGAATTGGAAGCAGGATTGCGCCGGTTACATGGTATTTTTCCCTATACCTTCTGTAAAAATGAGTTCCCAAATATTTAGAGTAGACCATTTGAAAACCCGTTCGAAAATATCTTTTTCTGAGATTTAATAAATTTTGGCTGAATTAGAGCTCTGTTCACATCAGTTATAAGGAATACTTATCACTTATCCAAGATATTGGGCGACTGATCAACTGTCGCCTTCGACTGGTTAACACCATATTTAAAGGATCTAGTCTTGCCCCTGACAAAAATGAGTTTGTCGAAGAGAGATTCTGTGGACGACCACGGCTTCTCTATTATAGCTGGGTATTTCCTTGGCGAAAATTTCTTTTCATTTCAGTGTATTTTTTTATCCTTTTGTTTTCGTCACTCGGCGGACTTTGATAACTTTTTTTATAAGTGATATATCCTTCCGCATTTGGCGACTAATTTTAATATTAAAATAAATATTTAAAATAAATATTCAATTTTAATTGGGAATATTTATCGGCCATTCCAGAGGCATTCTTAATTGTTTAGGTTATTTTGTTATATTTCAATAATTTAATTTTAAACTTCGCCATTTCCGATTTTGAGGTATACATTTTTGGAAATATAGTTTGGAAACATTTGCTAAAGTCATTCGTGGCCTTTCGGATGTATGGTACATGTTTACGACTCTATTCCAGATGAGTTATTTATCCACAGTAATATGGTAAATACTTTTACTCCGTGCCAGGCAATAATCGCTAAAGCAGTTTATATCCGCGTAATATTTGAGATCATAACATCTACACGCCCTTCTAACATTCCAGAGTTCACCAAAGTCCTCGCTACCTCGTATAGAATTCTCATATCTATCCTTTTTCTTCAGTGAATCTAGAGTAGTTCTCTTGTCTTTCATTATTATAGTAAAATTTTTAAAAACCGCATATATGATATATGAGCCATATATGCAAACTCGTGGCATATACCATAACTGCAGCTGTGAGTTCTTTTTGCTCTAGGTTGCAGGTGGATCTCTAATGAACATTCCAGCATTTTTTGTCGACAAAAATTTCATTTTTTGGTGCTTTTAATATTTGATTGTTTTACTTGAGATAAAAAAGCCAATCAGGCACCTTTTTTGTAATTTATGTCATTTTGTAATTTATGTTGTAATTTATGTTAATTTAATTTATTACGTCATTAAATTATTTAATATTTTTAAGCATCCCCGATGATGTCTTTCATGAAATGATTCGTGCGGCAAAACCTTTACAAGCTGCCGTACAAGATACACCAATTGATTATCACTGTATTCCTAACTGGAATTATGCTATAGGTTCTAGTTCCGGAATGAATCTTTATTCACCTCAGTTTTCCATCTGTCACATACCAATGGTTAGTAATTTTTACTATTTTTTTGATAAAATTTTTAATTTTATTAAAATTTTACAATTTAAGATAAAGATATGCAGTTATTGTTTGGCAATCGAAAAGTATCCCTTTGACCATACAAACAAGGAATGTGTTGAATTAGCCAGACTTAGACCGTGCAGGCTTTGTGGTGCTAGTGGTATTGATAATCATACTATTTCGTTAGTTCATTAATTTATTTTTTTGAATATTCTTATTTTTTGATATTTCCGCTTATTTCCATAGATCGGAAGATCATATAAATTTTAATTTATAGGCATTGTCCTCGTCGTCCAAAAATTTTACTAAACCTGAAGAATCCGAATATTAGTCAAACTAAATAATTTGGTATCGAAATGATTATTTTTTGTAAATAATATTACTATTACTACGAAGGAAGAAAGAAGTCGTTGAATTCAAATACTATTCTCAAATATTTAATATTTAGTTTTTTTCTGTAATTAATTTAAATATTTCATTGTTATCGTTAATTTTCGTTGTATTACAATGTTTATTGGTTTTTTAGCAGATCATGACTTCGTGACATTTACAAATAATTTTATGATTTCGGAAAATAGAAATGCCAAAAACGTCCCTTTCTTTTTTGATTCATATTGTCGCTCTTTAACATTGCATTCACTTCCTATTGTCTTTTGCTCTAAATTGTCAGACCCCGCATAACAACATTCACATCCTCGCTATATCATTCTAACAATATACTCGAACTTGACGCACCGCTCGTAAACCACTTAGTGTCCTCTTCACATCACATTTCGCTACTCTTATTCCATATTCTTTCCCATCAAAAAATCGTAACATTGGATCAAAAAATCGTAACATTGTTGTGAATCTCCTTATATTGTATCACTACAATTCATAATAGAAGCTTCCTTTTTTGATAGCTGTTGCGGTTCCTGGGATTTCTGCTTCTGGAGTGCACTGGCTGTTAGGATAGCCCTTAGCCGGTGAGCTTCTTTGTAGGAAAATGTTCATGGGTCTTTATCCATTCATGGGTGTTTAGCCTAACCCAACCCAAGTTGAAGCACTGCTCAACTGTTCTTTCTCAATTTTTTTCAGTCAATTTTTTTCACCAGTGAATAAAACTTTTTTCGGATGATGGATGATCGGATTTGCTACTGCTTGTGGTTGGTGATTCATTTTATTTGCACTAGGATCTTTTTCGTTTAATATTCCTTCTTCCTCGTCCATGTTGGCTTCAATTTATTTTTTATCTTCTCAAAAATATATGCAGAGGGTAGAAGGTTATTCTGGCTATGAGTAGAAGGTTATGAGTAGTTTATGAATTTATCTGCAAAATTTTGCGAGATCATGTTATTGTGTTTGTTATAGAGTTCATTTTAATAGGGATTTATTTTCATTTTCATATTTTTATATTTTTTTAAATATCTAAGTTAAATTAAATTAAAAATGGAAGACATTTCCTCGCAGTTTGGTTTTAATCCTCGGAAGGTACAATTCATCCTGAAATGTGAATTCATAAATTTCTGCTCAAATGCGAATGCTAAGGCCGACTGGTTTGCGACTTGCTTCCTCAAGTTTTTTTAGAATTTATCGAATTATTTAAAATTCGCTTTTGTTGGAATCCTTGTTTTTATTTTTCATATTTTAGCATTCATCTTGTTTTTTTTTAAATTGGAGAAAGGCTCTTTTAAAAATTTTTCACAAGTTTATTTTATTTGTTTGTTTTAAGGAAAAATGTTGGTTCGTAAGTTTCAATTGTTTATTGAGAAAACTTTAATTATCAGTTATCAGTTTTAATCATTATCGTTTTTTCTTAATAAATTTCAATGTTTATGGATAGCAATTAATATGCATATTTGGCAATATTTTTGTTGATTAACTCCATTGAGTATAAATATTAATCGTCGTTGCAAAAAATAAATTTATTGGAACCACTGTGGGCAGTTTTCTCCTAACTGTAATTGTCATTAGCTAATTTAATTGACCTAAATAGCTGCTGTCTAAATGACAGTCCGACGCAAAATTAATTAAGTGGACCCAGATGAATGAATGTGTTCGGCTAGGCAGTTGGTTGTGTTAGTGTGTCAGAGCTGTGGCCCAGTCGTCTGCTTGGTTCCATGCTGAGAGTAGGTTGCACCTCGACATAAGTCGTGCCCGTGAGCATATCACCACATCCACATGCTTAATTAAACTAGATGCGGAACTTGTATGGAAGTTTGGGCACTGACCTTGATCTAAATTTGCTTCGACCGACGAATGGAGATTCTGAACATCGGATTTTCTGAAAAGTCTACCCTCATTCATTTCTAAAATTTTTATAATTAGGGGACAAATATTCAACGAGTAAGTTTTGCGAAGGTGATGAAAGGTAATTGGGGAAATGAATGTGGGGGTACAAAGTCGCAGCCAGGTTGGGGTATTAATATTTAGCATTAATATTTGTTGGCAATGTTGGCTGTGGTAAATTTTTATTCAATTTTTATTTTGCTTCTAAATGATTTTGATTCAGTCTCTGCTTTGAGGACAAAAGAACGTCAACGAAACTAGTAAAAGAGGAATGGAGGTGATGAATGAAGTTTCCTTTCTGGTAATCGTTTTTTTTAGTTCATGCGAAGCTTTTAAACTTTAAAATAAGTAATATTTTTTAAAATATTGAAATTTCTTGCATTTATTTTTTGTATAAATCTGATAAACAAAACAGATTTATAGACTTAGGAAAAGCTTTTTAAAACTATAAAAAATTGTCGAAAGGAAAAGGGAATCGTGCGAAAAACAGTCCAAAGTGCGGTGTAAATAGCTCGAGCTAAGGCCTTTAGAGCTACGAAATGCTTCAGATTCTCGACAGTTCTAAATGTTTTCATTATTTATTTCAATTCTTGTAGGATACATCTTCGTTACTTGAATCTAATACACCAGTGAAGGAATCAACAACTGTGCCAGAAGGTATCGAACCGGATGATTATATGCGTTTTAAGAAATTGGAAAAGCAACTTGAGCATCTCGAAGTTATGGAGGATTACGTGAAACTCGAGACGAGAAATTTGGAAAAAGAATTACTTCATGCTCAAGAAGAGGTTTCATTAATATTATTTTGTTAATATTCTAGTTTTATCTTTTCCGTTGCAAGTAATTTCCCTAATTTTCAAAAGTTAAGGCAATTTAAGTTGGGCAATTCATTTCATCATTTCCCAGGTAAAACGAATTCAGTCAGTACCACTTGTTATTGGGCAGTTTCTTGAAGCAGTCGATCAGGACCATGCAATTGTTGGTTCTACAACAGGTTATTTATTGTTATTGAAATCAGCTATCAGTTATATCAAACTAAAAATTTCACCAGTTCAAAGTGATAAAAATAATAGTTAATGGTATTTTTTGATTATGCATGAGATTAAGGTCATATTTTTGTTCATTCTTTCCTTTTCCCTTATTCTATTCGTTCCTTTATCTTTTTCGCATCATCTCTACAATTTCTTGCTTTACTTTACTTTTTTATCAGTGGCTTGCAGTGATTTATATTATCTATCACTGTTTCCTCAAAAATAAGTGGTATTGCAGATTTCTAATAATAGATGATAATTATTAATATTAGGTAATTAAAGTAATAATCTTTTTAATATTATAAATGGAACACATTACGGTTATTTATTAATTAATCAATACTTCTGATTGCAGGTTCTAACTATTATGTTCGTGTTCTTTCTATCTTGGATCGTGAACTTCTAAAACCCGGTTGCAGCGTTGCATTACATAAGTATAGTAATGCTTTGGTTGATGTTCTTCCACCTGAAGCTGATTCAACTATTCAAATGTTACGTGCTGATGAAAAACCTGACGTAGGTAATTTATTTCCGTAAAATGGTAATTAAGGTGATAATCTTATAATCTTTTTAATATTATTCATTTGGTTTTTGCAGGTAACTTATGCGGATATTGGTGGTCTTGATATGCAAAAGCAAGAAGTTAGAGAGGCTGTCGAATTGCCACTTACTCATGGCGAACTATATCAACAGGTTTTTCTATTTTTTCCAGTTTTTTTATCAGTCGTGTGATAATTCTACTTCCTCTTACTCGGTTTATAGATCGGCATTGATCCACCGCGTGGCGTACTTATGTTTGGGCCTCCAGGATGTGGGAAAACTATGCTTGCAAAAGCAGTGGCTGCTCATACAACTGCTTCGTTTATTCGCGTAGTTGGCAGCGAATTCGTTCAGAAATATCTTGGCGAAGGTAACTCGTTTTTCTAATCGCTTAACTCTTTTGTAAAATAAAATGAAATTAATGAAGTTGATTATCTGATTATTATCTATCTAAGTAAATAAATTATTGTAAATTATTGGAATAATATTAATATTCGTTCTAAAACCTGTCGCATTTTTTGTTTTTCTGACTTTGAGAACTTATTGTCGTGCCTCTTATATCAATTATATCATTTATATCATTTTGCTTGCCATGATTTCTAGTCTTTTTTTGAGAGACTAGAGATTCTAAGATATTTATATCTACATTCTGCATTCGATTTTAAACTGGTATTGAGCGACAAATGCAATAACAAGCAAGTTTTGGAGATGCACCTAAGGAAAGAACAGCGCAATTCATGAAATCCAAGTGCGAAAAAACGGATTTCTAAGGCACTCCATTTTGCAGCCCTCGTGCCTTGTAAATGGATCCTTAAAAGAATTATAAAAATTATTTTCATAAGGATTTGTGTAAACATAGCATAACATAAATTTTCACATAATAATCTGTGAAATAACCTGCATGCAATGGAAAAAAAGAAAAGAAACATTTGTGGAAACAGGATGACCTTGAAACCACTTTCGAGTAATTCGTTGGTTCCATAAGCTTGGATTTATACCTGTGCAATATACATAAACATAAACTTTGCGTTGGCGAAAGCATGTTGATTGCAATGATTCTCGTTTCAAATGTATTGATTTTTCACTTTATTGATTCTTAATAAAATATGTCGAAGTAAACGATTTAAAAACGTGGGAATTTATAGGATGACTTAATAGTTATTTAATTCAATATTTAGGCCCCCGAATGGTTCGTGACGTTTTCCGTTTGGCTAAGGAAAATAGTCCTTCTATTATTTTTATCGATGAAATTGATGCGATTGCTACTAAACGATTTGATGCACAAACTGGAGCGGACCGTGAAGTTCAAAGAATCCTTTTAGAACTTTTAAATCAGATGGATGGTTTCGAACAAAATACCAATGTAAAGGTATTAGCTTACGATGATATTTTCTCGATTTTTTGGAGTTTATTTGAAGGAAGGAGATTTGCACCTAGCGGACGATAGAGGAAATTTAAATGTCGTATAATTTAATATAGTTTTTAATTAGGTTATAATGGCTACGAATCGTCATGATACATTGGATCCAGCATTGTTGAGACCTGGCCGTCTTGATCGGAAAATTGAATTCCCAATGCCAGATCGTCGTCAAAAGCGTCTCATTTTTTCTACAATAACAGCTAAAATGAATTTGTCGGATGATGTTGATATAGAAGATTTTGTAGCACGACCGGATAAAATTTCTGGAGCAGATATCAATGCTATGTGTCAAGAGGTAAAATAATTTGAGTCCAACCTTTTGAAAGCTGTGTATTTTGTTACCAATATTTCTGATTTTGATATGGTTTTGTCATAAATACAATTTTAGTGAAACATTATCCTTTTATTATAAAAATTGATTTATAGGGCGGAATGCATGCCGTACGAGAAAATCGCTATATTGTTTTAACAAAAGATTTTGATAAAGCTTATAAATCGGTTATCAAAAAAGAACAACTCGACTTTGAATTTTACAAATAAAATTATTCTTCTTGGAATATAATTTTGTTTTATTTGTCTTTTTATTTAAAAAATTTAGTAAAAATGAAATTTTGTTGTTTATCGATCACTGCTTGCTTTATAACCAAAAAAAAATTTGCTAATAGAAGTTTGAAGATTTTTTTTCCGTTTTCAGTTTTGTAAATGACAATAGTCTAATTGGTAATGTTAATTAGTTACTCTTATGCGAAGAATTAGGACATATCTCGGTACGCGAGATGTTGCGATGGGCATTGTAAGATTTGGTAAGAAAGGGGATGGTTTTCGTTGCTTTTAGGTTTGGCGAATGGAATAGAAACATTAGAAATGCTTCATGGGTCACCGTTAGAAGAAGAAAACGATGGCTGATGAATGATTGCAGATTTCGGCTAGAATGGGATAATATTTTGCTAATTTATTGCGAGCAGCTGATTTACGGTCTTAAATTATCAATGGGTCTCCCTCAGTCTCTTGATGCACTCACATTTGTTTCTTTCAAGGGTGGGAGAAGGCCAATTCGAGTGAGGTTAACTAACTGTGCTCTTTGCATTAGTTTCTTTTAGTTTGAGATCAGCGGGCCGTGGGACATGCATTTTATTCATCCTTTAACGAAGAATCGGGCTAGAATGATCCACTATAATCCACTATAATAGTCCACTTAATCCACTTTAATGCATAAGAAGATCCGAATGGGTTTTATTCTCGATGGTGGGTTTAATTTCGGTGAAGTTGTAGAACTGTTCGGGTGAATTGAGTTGAGATTAAATTTACGTATAAAATAGGATTATTTGAACCAACCTTCACAAGGTCCCGTGGTGTAGCGGTTATCACATCTGTCTAACACACAGAAGGTCGGCGGTTCGAGTCCGCCCGGGATCATCGGTTTTTCCCCCTGCAGCAATGGTCTTGGTTCTGTTCCATCTTATTCGTTTGTGCTATTTGTTGAAGATAAAGAATTCTGAGTGATGGATTAGTGAGCTGATAAGTTATCAGTGTAATTAATCAGTCAGCTCAATTGTAAATTGATGTGTTTATCATATTTAACGAGAATTTATACAATGTCTTTTTCTTAAATTTCATCTTTCATTACAATTATTAGGATTGGCTAGTAAATTTATTGCGGAAATTACATTTTGGTGAAAAATAAAATCGGCGTTGTCCATTTAATTAGGAGATAAACAGATGTTTAAGGGATGGAAGGAAAGAAAGGTAGCTCAGTGCGACGATTTGAACGGTGTCGAAACGGCTCGAGTCCGAGGTCACAGCTCGCTTCGCACGGCATTGTAATCAATGAGAATTTATACAATAATGTCTGTTATTTTTACTATCAGTCTTTTTTAATTGTAATCAATGCCGTACAGCACTGATTACGACACACCGAAACAAAAAACTTAGAAGTTTAGATTTGACTGGTATGCAAATCGCGATATAAGAACTTCGAAAAAGCCCTTACATTCTATAAATGAACCAATGACAGAAACGGTTGACTTTTGCGAGAAGAGATTAATGACATCTTAGACCTTCACCTCGCACCGGGTGGAATTAGCAGTCTGTGGTGAAGAAGAAGAGCAAAGGTATCTCGTGAAAATGGCTCCAATATCCAATACGTCCATATCCCAGTTCCCCGACAGCCAGTACAACTTTCCATCAATTCTCTGGCAGCTATTAAAACCTTTCGTAAACTCACAGACACAACAAACATTATGAAAAACATTGCGCGAAAAATCGGCTAACAAAGGCCACCAATGATTTCAAAAATACTGATAATAAAAATAACAGATTAATAATAAAAATAAAATAATTAATATAATATAAACAACCAAAAATATTTATCCGCCATATTTTCGAAATTATTATAAAAAAAGAGCGATAAAACGATATTTCGAAGAACGCAATTTAGTCGAATGGCGACAACTTTTGTTATAAATTTTGTTGAATAAATCCAGCTTTTATTATTAAAAATCGCTTATCATTCACAAAACAAAAAATAATTGGATAGTTTTCCTTAATTTAGCTTACTTCAGAAATGCAGCCGAAACTAATCAGAGAAAGAGGAGAAAATTATATAAACCAATAAATTTTTTTTAAAAAGTCCTCACCATCACTAGCTAAACTCGCTCCACTGGCTTGTCACATTGAGCAATGAGCGAGGGGGTCTTGGCGATAGAAATACAGGTGAGTCGCCAGCATCACCCGGATATTTGGTTTACTCCTGCGGAGAATCGAACCCCAGCATCGCTCTCACAATCGAGCAACGACCCACTGGGCCATCCTATCCCCAACCAACAAATTTAATGAAATAAAAAATTCTTTATTTGATTAAACTTTCCGCTGGGTTCGAATGACTCAAAAACATTCAAATACTTTTTCTTCGGACGATTTTTTAGTGCATTTATTCTCTAAATCGATGCGTTAATTATATTATATTTACATTAATTATTATTAATAAACAAATTGCTAAAAGCCATTCAGTTTTTTCATTTCACGATAGATCTAAAACTTTCTAAATTCATGTTAAATTAGCAAATCCCAAATTGCAAGCAGATATGATTGGAATGAAAACCCGGTAATAGGCCTGAAAGGAAAGGAAGAGTACCCCACTCTGGGAATCAACATCGCCTGCACCATCGTCTCAAACACCGAGTAAACGAAGACACAGTAAAATACAAAGGAAGCTCACAGCATGACTAACGGAAACACTTTAAATAGCCCAAGATCAGCCGTCTTCGCCCACTTTTCCCAACGTTCTATGTCCCACTTGTTGTCCAATAAATTCGAAATTCCCTAATATTAATGAACTGGCTTTACCGCGATTTACAATAATTCAATTTAAACGAACTTTATTTATTTGGCCTTCACATTCGTTAAAACATCCCAGTAAAACACGGCAGTCAACAGTTTCAACCGCTAAATCCCAGGAATGAAGTGAATTCGTTTATTCCTTAGCTCCATAAACAAAGTTGGAATCGAACCTCCCTCTATATCACTAGAACGGCCCAGTGGGCTGCTGTTCACTTTAAAGCGCCATTATATCTCTGACAGTAGTGCAAAACCTTCATTCTTACCATCCCCCTCTCACGGTAAACCTCTACTTCATACTTGTCATGTGGACTCCGAATCGCCAGTTGCGAGATGACTACCCAATTTGCAATGCAGGATTCTGGTGGGGCACCACCGTTCCTTCCTATCCAGAATGTACCGCCCACATGCACAAACCCGAACTCGGCTACGCTCCCCCACTTCCTTTGATTTTTTAAAATTTAACCACATCACAATGCAGGCAATTCGTGCTCCCGTACTACACAACCCCACGACAGCCAACCGAAGAACCACCGCACCAACTCATCTCCCAACAACCCCGAACCACGCCGGGTCAACCGAAAACCACGCCATTTCACGACGGTTCACCACTTAGTTCATACTCAGTTCCATACTCAGTTCACCACTTGAGACAATAGGCATAATTACCATATTTTTGATTCGTGTAGTTCCAAAATATTTTTAAACAAATTTATCGTAAAACTTCAATAACTTCATCAACTGCACGTACACCCGTACGCAGATAAGATAATCCTCCATCAACTACTATAACAATCAGAAAAAAGGAACAAATTGCTAAATGAGATCCATATACATATTTAATCAACTTCCTCGATTGTTGGTCCTCCTCCACCCTGATGACCGCCTCCTGGTGCACCACCGCCGGGGAATCCTCCTGGATTACCTAAAATTTATTTGTTGACAAATTTTAGTTCCTTTGGCTTCTTTTTCTCACCCCCTTGGTTTAAAAAACTCGTCCCAATACTTCTAAATGCACACTCACCTGGCATTCCGCCTGCACTTTGATACATCTTGGTTATAATCGGATTGCAAACTGCCTCCAATTCCTTTTGGTGATGCTCAAATTCGTCTTTCTCCGCCGTCTGATTACGATCCAGCCACTTGATGATCTCATCACATTTGTCTTCAATTTTCTTACGATCGTCCGCAGATAATTTGTCCTTCAACTGAAAAACACCACTTTAAATCGATTGCGCAAGTAGAATAAGCATTTTTCTCCAGAAGAATGAAAGGAGAAAAATACCTTCTCATCATCAATAGTCTGCTTCATGTTAAAGGCATACGATTCCAGCGCATTCTTAGCAGCAATGCGATCTTTTTGTGCTTCATCATCTGCTTTGTATTTTTCTGCCTCCTGAACCATACGTTCAATCTCATCTTTTGAGAGACGACCTTTATCATTTGTAATCGTAATTTTATTTTGTTTTCCGGTCGATTTATCTTGTGCAGATACATTCAATATACCGTTCGCATCAATGTCGAAAGTGACTTCAATCTGCGGCACACCACGAGGGGCCGGAGGAATACCTGACAATTCAAATTTCCCCAAAAGATTGTTGTCTTTAGTCATTGCGCGCTCGCCCTCAAAGACCTGCAAGCAAATAATATACATAAAATGAAACAGCCTGAAAGATCACAAAATGAGCGCTAAAACAACGCAACATAAAAAGGAATGCTTACCTGAATCAAAACACCAGGTTGGTTGTCGGAATACGTAGTAAACGTCTGCGCTGTTTTCGTGGGAATTGTAGTATTACGCTTAATTAACGCAGTCATAACTCCACCTGCAGTCTCAATACCGAGCGAAAGTGGGGCAACATCCAACAGAAGCAAATCCTGTACTGCTTCCGATTTGTCTCCGGACAAAATAGCTGCTTGAACCGCGGCACCATATGCTACTGCCTAAAAAACCTCACATTTGCTGAGATAAAATTATAATAGATGCAGAAGCCTTGAACGCTCGCGAGCATACCTCATCCGGATTGATACTCTTATTAAGTTCCTTGCCAGAGAAAAAGTCAGAAAGAAGTTTCTGAACTTTTGGTATACGCGTCGACCCTCCAACAAGAACAATGTCGTGCATTTGCGACTTATCCATCTTTGCATCACGAAGGGCTTTCTCAACAGGATCCATAGTTGAACGGAATAAATCAGCGCACAGCTCTTCAAAACGTGCACGAGTGATATTTGTATAGAAATCAATCCCTTCGAAGAGTGAATCAATTTCTATGCTGAAATAAAACTGGATACTAGTCCAAACTGTCAACTATATTAAAAAATTTTACCCAATGAAAATTAACAGCTGACTAACGAACCTTGCTTGAGATGAACTAGACAAAGTTCTCTTGGCACGTTCACAGGCAGTTCTCAGACGTCTAAGAGCCCGCGGATTCGTCGACAGATCCTTCTTATGCTTCCGTTTAAACTCGGCGACGAAATGATTCACCATTCTATTGTCAAAATCTTCGCCTGAATTAAAGATGCTCTGAATAATTTGATGCGCAAAGTGCCTGATTAACACTATCATCAACCACAACAGAATAAAATTACCTCCAAGATGGGTATCACCGGCTGTCGATTTCACTTCGAAAATTCCATCCTCAATAGTCAGTATAGATACATCGAATGTACCACCGCCGAGATCGAAAATAAGTACATTACGCTCACCATGCCCCTGGAAATTTTGTTAAAATAAAAACGAAATCACATTTACTCAATAGACATCGCCATTCAAACACAACAGACCCTGGAAAAATTGTAAAAGATTCACTTTTTTATCCAAACCGTAAGCGATAGCCGCGGCTGTTGGCTCATTTATGATACGAAGAACATTCAAACCCGCGATGGCCCCTGCATCCTTGGTAGCTTGACGCTGTGAATCATTAAAATATGCCGGCACGGTCACCACAGCATCCTAAAATCACATTATCAACCATGTACAAAGAGAGTGAATGCTACTAACGCAAAATTTCAAAACAACGCAATACCTTAACAGTGCTACCAAGGAAAGCCTCAGCTGTTTCCTTCATCTTCAGTAGGACCATTGATGAAATCTCCTCCGGAGTGAATGTCTTGGTCTCACCCTTGTACTCAACTTGAACTTTTGGCTTACTACCTTCTGCATTAATAACTTTAAACGGCCAATGCTTCATATCTGCCTGGACCGCAGGATCGTCAAATCTACGGCCAATTAAACGTTTGGCATCTGGAAAAATTGAAGTTGAGAAAGGACGGACCCGTAAACAAACAATTCGTACTGCTACCGTCACAAGACGCAAAACATCCCAGAAAAAAAAAACTAACCAAAAACTGTATTATTTGGATTCATAGCCACTTGATTCTTTGCAGCATCACCAATCAGACGCTCCGTATCGGTGAACGCAACATAAGACGGAGTTGTTCGGTTACCTGCAGGTTAAAATTTCAGTCAACAGGTCTTAAAAATTGAATACTATTCATCCCACAACTGCAATCAACCTAAACCGCCAACCACCAGGAAACTGTAAACTGACAGAATTTGCCTCATTCCATCTTTGCATGCCACTTCTGCTTCCACTGAGCCGGCGTGCCCGCAACGGAGAACCACTTTGGCTCCCTGCCGAAGGCTTCACGAGAAGCCGCCGTTGATTCATCACTTGGTTATTCATGTGAACGAATCCACTGGCGCCGACCTAGAACCCCACAAGGAAGAAACAAAAACGAACCTTGATCATTGGCGATGATTTCCACCTTCCCGTGCATGAAAACTCCGACACACGAGTAGGTCGTTCCCAAATCAATCCCCACAGCATTATGTTTCGCCATTTCCACTCAATTCACGAAAAATTTCTCAACAACAAATTCTGAACGATACTGCCAAATCGCCGAACGGTCCAACACAGCTCTACCAACGCAAAACTGAGTGTCAACACGCGGCGCGTCCCTTTTATTTTAAAATGAAGGAATTTTCGCGAAATTTCTATAATTTTCTACACGAAACGAAATAGTGCAAAATATTTCTTTCAGTATTTTTCCGTAACTTTTTTGAAAAACTTTTTACTTATTTTGTTTTTCAAAATCGTTTTGTATTTTTTATTGTTTTTCATTTAAAAAATTGGAAAAATCCGCGAAATTTTCCAAAATTTTTTACAAATTATACAATTTAGCTCCGCCCACTTGGCGGATGAATTAAATGCGTCGCGTCTTCTCTGGAATATTCTAGAAATAACTTGAGTGAGGGTGATGACCTGCTTTTCTTGTGGGTCTTGTTCCTGGGTTTATGGCTTGAGGAGGGGGTCCTGGGTGGTGGGGTTATTTCGTGGACTTCTTGTCTCTAAAGATTACCCGCTGTATTAACACTGCTTCTTACGAAGGAAATATTTTTGCTTTAATTATTAATTATAAATTTATAATTTGATTTTTCAGTCATTCCAGCTGTTATTTCGTTGTTAATAGTTCTCGAAATTCCCAGTTTTCCTTTTTTTAATTAAATTTTGTTAATCAACTATTTTTTTTATAATTTATATAATATTTTATTTTGTACATTAAACAGTAAATTTTAATGATTAAATGTCAACGCACAACAATTTGTTTAGCATATTTTAAAATAAAAAGTTGTTTAGAGAGTGGAACTATGGTTTGCGGTGATTCAGCGGAATTTTCGTTGACTTTCGCTTTCAAGTTTTTTGCTTTTGTTGGAATAGATTTACGAATTTTTTATTTCTATTTTTAGTCTTCTAGTAATAATAATGTTTTTCGGGAAGCGGATTGAATCAGCAAAAATTTGAGTGAATTCTTCGGAACATGGGGAATTTATTAAATCCAATATTTGTTTTAGTCCTTTGATTTTTTATTATTCTTTTCATTTATTGTTTGCTTTAATAATGACGATTTTACTTCCCATATTACTTTTTTAGCAAAGTTTTTCAACTTTGTGAGACCCTATAAATTATTGCAATAAACTTTATAAATTTATTTAAACCGGATGGAACTTGGACGCTCAGTGGTGCATGGCTCTGAGGATGCGAGTTCTCTGGTATCTTTTCGTGAAACCACACATTAAACATGCCTTTGCATTAAACATGTCTTTCTCATGGTCACTTTTGCCCTGTCTTAGCTCTTCTTTTTCTTAAAGTGATGGAATTGATTTATTTCCTCCGTAATGTGGAAAAGCGTGCTATACAGCTTCATGAGTTCAGACTATGCACTGAGGGACCCGCTCTTTGCAGTTTTTGATAACACTGCGCCCCAAGGAAAAAAAAGAAGGAGAGCGGCTCTCAAAGTTCACATCCTCAACAGATGCAATTTTCGATAAGCATAATGCGGGACGTTGTATTGTTTAATGGTTTGATTTTGATATTATTAAAACCATTATTCACCTAACTATTGATTGTAATGAATTCGTGTGTACAATAAAGTACGATTTTTTTCTTCAGTTATGTGAAATTGAAAGAGAAGAAGGTAGGGAGAAATAAAAAATATGCCAAAAAAAAATTACATGTTGGTTCGCAGCAAAATATTTTAAAACCTCAAAAAAAAGGTAAAAATGTGCAAAAATCTTTTGAAAATTCGACAGTTCATTCAAATGTACCATATCATGGTTTTCATTCATTTCTCATCAAATAAAAATGTTTGCTATTCTTGAGCTTTTAAATTCATGCGTCGTTTATAAATATCTCGGCAAATCGCAGCTGCGTTCGGCGACGTCTCATCTTCACTATCCGAATCGCCGGCAACACGGCGCTTTCTCGCATTTAATGTTATTTGTTGTTGGTACTCGCTTGATGAAAGCACCTTAAACCATGAAAGTAATTGAAATGGATGGATTTTCGTAACTTTAATGATAATTTCGAATTTGGAAAAGGTGCAAACCACATTAGGGTCGGTTGTTGTCGCTAATAACTGATAAAATTCTTTTTTGATATCTTCGATTCTATGAGTACCAAACATTATTCCATTCTCTATTTTTACATTTACATCAACTGAAGGAATCGCTGAAATTATGTTCATTATCACGTTTATCAGTGAATTAGATCCAGTCCTAAAGCATAATAGCAGAATAAGTAACTGCTACCTGACTGATTAAATTTCAACAGGCTTTCCATAAGAAGATCGATTGAAACAAAAGGGCCATTGAATGACCAAGGTGGTGGCAACATTTGCATTAACTGAGCAGCTGGTACTGGAGGAGGGAAAACACCTGTAAATGTGAGCGATTAATTTTTGTGGCCACTGCACCTTCATTTCTAGCTTAAATATTCGAGTAAATCTAAAGGGAACAACTCGACTACCAGAATTCGCAGTGAAGGATAAAAGCATGATTAATGGAAATACAACATTTAGCTTATACAGCATAATTTGTAAGCATGAGGAGAAAAAACCTCCTGGAACTGGATGATAACTTGCGGCAGTATTTAATTTCGGTTTAAAAGGAATCATTTGGTCGGTATCGGGCCTTGGATATCCAGAAATTTCTAGACTTACACCACCACCCATAACGACCGATGGTCCTTGAGCAACGTTCGCATTACGTGTATTATTTTGACCTGAAAATTATATTATTATGCTATCATTAATTAAATTAAGCAGCAAAGAATTGCTTCATTCCAAAGAAAGCACCTGAAGTTTGAGGAATATTTGATAGAACTGATGGATTAGTCCAACGACCAGCTAGCGAAGCATTTGGGCGACCTTGCTTCTGGAAAGAAAAACAAAGGTGTGTGTTTTTTCTAATAATGTTTGATATAGAAAAAGTCCAAACGTCGTACCGAATATCCCATAAGTTTTAGCTGATCATTGGTACAAGGAACAAGATTTAAGAATTTATATCGATCGATCAGTAGCACCGTTTGCATATCAGAATATTGCTCTTTAAGGGCTTCACGACGTCGTTTATCAACTTTAAGAATGCTCGGTAGATCCCCGACATTCGTCTCGAACTCCAAATAACGGTCCCATATATCTCTTTAAAAATTGGATTATGGATTGCTGCCAATCGTACAAACCAATAAAACTAACAGTATAATAGATAAAAAGGACCAAACAGTTATTATTTAAATTATTCTCCGTTAAGTTTTAATATATTGCTTTAACGCTGAATATTAATCGAATAAAGAATGTTACATTTCGATTATTTAACCAGCCGACTGATGAAGAAATAAAGAGAATGCAAAAAGAGATGCAAGAAAACCATCAAATATAGAAATTACTGGAGGAGAATGATAGAAGGAAGAACAAAATCGAAAAAATAGAAGATCGTAGCCACAACCAAGCGACTCCTACCGCTCGTAATGTTAAAGGACAAAACGCAAAACTTTCCCGTCTAAAACTGGTTTCGTTGAAATACTTTTATCTAATTTCAGAAAATCAACGTTTTATAACGCAATTTTATACGTTATTCATGATCTATACGCAAATATATTCCGCTGGATATCAGCTCGAATGGCACAATTGCTGTACGTGCTGCCAAATACCTTTATGCTTATCTTGGCTAACAATGGTCATCGAACACGCTCCGGCTTAATAAATGGCTCATTCATAAGTGAGGGTAATTTCTATTATTCACTGCTTCAATATTTATATCAAATTCTGCATTATAGTTGTTTCTGGCTTTTTAAAAATCCTTTTTAGTATTGTTTTTGATTATCTTCAACAAAAAATAGCAAATATTCTCGGCGAGAACTTTAGAATGATCCAAAAACAACGATCTTTAAATCATGGATAGAACAGCATAGGAATCTTTAAGTCGTTGAGTAAACGAAAGCTTCGTCTTTGTCCTTTGAGAACTCTTATGGAATACTGATACCTTTATAAGGTAAAATAATATACGAGTCAATCGAATTGTCAGTGTTGATGAAATAAGTAAAAGGAAAATAGTATTAGAGCTTTCCAATCAATTTTTCAGTCTGACAGCAACCAGCAGGAATACGTTCAGCATAAAACGAGAGATATGATTATGTTCTTAGGAATAATGAAAACAGTCTCTTTTTATTTCCCACTGAACTTCACTAACATCACTTTACTTACTTATCAAATAAATTTTGACATTTGCAACATATCTTTCCAGCAATTGAGTTAAATTAAACCAACAATCACGTTTTATAACATAGCTGGTTTCGGTTGCAATTTTTGGCCGAAGTCGAACGGTGATTATTCAGCACAGCAACAGTGTTTTACATAATTAAAAGGTACTTAAAAAAAACTTACAAGGATTTTTCTGTCGGCATCGTGCCTGACGTTAAAATTCTTTCGAAGACTACTCGAGTATTGTTGTCCTCTAAATAATAGAGACTGAGATTATAAAATGATTTTTAAAAGATATAAAAAATTTGAGGAAAAGTAATTCCAAAATTTGTAAAAAATAAAATAAATTAGAAAAAACGACAAAAGAAAAAAGAAAAACAAAAAAGAATAACAACATAATAAGAATAATAAAATAATAAAATGGCAAAAATATAAAAATTTGAAACAAACCATTTAAATGAGATAAAAAATCAACGTATGCCAAAGCATATTCAGGTTCATTTCCATATTTTTTAAGGCCCATATCAAACACACGTATTGCTACATTAGTGTCCTTAAAAAATTTAAAAAAGATAGCAAAAGAGAAGAAAAGAAAATCTTTTGAAAATCTTGAGACAAGTAATTGTGAAGTGATGACCCAGAACCACCGAAAGTTGTAGCTAACGAAACCACTTTAAATTTTGGATAATTCTGGATCTCTCTGTAAGAAAACCATAAATTTAATAAAATCATACTTTGCTACAATAATATTCCATCAAAGCAGAAGCAACAAAGACATGAAATTTGCAACGAGAGTCTTGTCGAGCCCGTTTGAAAACATTCCTTGCAAACTGTACTCCTTCTGTCCGCCTCATAAATTTCATAAGTTGTATATAAGCCTGAAAAATTCCAATAGCTAAATCCAATAGCTGTAGAAATTAAGTAAAACAGTCATATCCTTTATTAGATTTCGCAGAAGACTAATGAAAATTGCAAAAACTAATGATTGAGGGAAGAGAAAATAAAAAGATAAATAAAAATAATAATATATTCAGCATAAAAATTTATTTAAAAAATGCAATTCACAAAAGAATAAAAATAAATAAATTTATTCTATGTAATTAATAAAAGAATACAAAAAATTATCGAAAGATATTTGATGAATAAAAAATTTTAACCAAAGTTGGATCAACTGATTCGATTTCCAATAGCCTATCATAAATTTTTTTAACATTTTCATATTTCATTCGTTCTTCCTCAAAATCCGCATAAGCAAAAAATAATAACTGGCTATCCTTGAGAAGTCCACCAATTGCACGCTCAAATAGTTCTTAAAATAAGCAATAAAAAATTAGAATAATTAATTAATAATAAAAACGATAAAAAAATGCATAATTTTTCGTCAACTAACGAGTAATATCTGCATTTAATGATGCTGATAACTTCACATCACCCTTCTCTGCTAAGACGCTTGCAGCATGTTGCTGGAAAAGTGCTGCTTCATACCAAATATCAGGATAATATCCAAGGCACAACAATGCTTGCTCATATGCGTATATCACTAAAATAGAATATGAAATAATCGAAAAAATACTTCCAAAATTCCAAAATTATAGAAAATATCATTTCTTTTTGCAATTTATTGAAGCAAAGATTAAAAGTTACCTCTTTTTGCATAATGCGAATATTCCTCTGTTCCTAACGGATTACTTTTTTCCCACTGTATATATTTTCGCCACATATCCAACTAAAAATAACAATGAAAATATTTTTTAAAAATTCTGATGAAATTTATAGCAATTTAATAAATTTAACTAAGAGTAGAAGAATAAACAACTGCAAAGCGGGAAAAAAGAAACTTAAACTTAAAACTAAAAAAAGAAACTATAAACTTGGCGACTTTCATTATTATTAGCTTAAATATATATATATATATAATAATAATCTATTAATCTATTAATCTATTAAATATATATATATATAATAAATATATATATAATAATCTATACATATATATATATAACAACAATAACCTGTTTCATCTCAGCAGGAGTTCCACGCGGTGGAACACTTACAGCTTGTCGATTTAAGCCGCGTGTAACTTGTTCTAGTGATTTAGACGTACGCTTAGCCACTTGATAATCTTTATTTCGTTCCGCAATTAATTTTTCTGCTAATGTTGCATTGACGCTCTTAAAATAAAGCTTGTAATCAATTTGCTAAGAAAAATTTTCGAATTTTTTTGTTCAGTCTATTTTTTCGCCTAAAAAAATTATTTATTTAAAATGTTTTTGGACAAAAATCATTTGTTTGGAATTATTAAAACCTTCTCATATGAGCAATATTCAGCCCATAGTTGTTCGACATTCACCATTGGCGTGATCACACCACGCTGATAAACTTTTCGAACTGCTGTCACCCTTTGATTTTCAGCATATTGCCCAACTGTTGGGCTGCAATTTAAAATTGAATTAAACCTGATGTTTTGCTTAAAATAATCAAGGAAAATATTAATTATTAATTAAAATTAATTGCAGAACAAATTTAAAAACAAGAAATAATTTGAGAAATTAAAATTTAGAAAATATTTAAAGAATTTCAGTAAAATGCACGAAAATTGCCGGCCACTATACAAATTTATGACAGATGTGAACAAAAGAAAATTTGAAAAATTTTTCCGAAAACTTTAATATTTATTTTTAAGAAAAAAATCGTAAAATCTCGAAACATAAAAAACATTATTTACGCTGATTTAAGGAACGAAATATAATCAGAATAAATTGAATACGAATGCATATCGAGACCAACTTTGTCCAGTGCGAATTCGTAGGCTTGTGCCATTTTCTCCCTTGAAAAGAAATATTTTGAAAAATGGTGTGGAAAAATGTTTTCAGAAGATGAAATGAAAATCAATTTTTTTGGAGAAATTTTATCAAAAAATTAATTTATTAGGAAAAATAAAAATTAAATCTTCAAATTATCACTGATATCAATAATTTAACAATTTTTCAATTTATTAAAAAACCTGAATGATGACAAATGTCCCTTCGTTTCTCGGACATAAAAAACGTAACATTTCCATAAATCAATATTAAGAATATGGATAAGACATCGCCCAAATAACTAAAAAAAATTTGTAAACTGCCAGCCTGAATGATAACTGAATTAAACAAAATTGTTCTTCCTTAGATTTTTCGAAACTTACGTGGAAGAAAACCAAATTTCATAAAATGTTCAGCAAAATTTCCCAGTAGAGATAGGCATTTCGCCATTTCTATATACATCATTTAATGATTGGAGGGGGGAGAATGGCTTTGTTAATTGTTGCTATCCTTTCATAGAGCGAGTACCAAAGTTATACTTATGGCTTATGATTTATTCTTCGAAAATGTTCTATCATTAATGACTCCCAGGCAAACTTAACTCGCCCAACAAGCTAGTGAATCTTGCCCAACCATGAGCGCTCATGAAGCAAACACATTGATCATATTTACCACAAATATTAAATTACAAACCACTTCTGTATGCATAGCCAGTTTTGCTGAATATAAAGTTCAAACTTACCTGAAATCTTATCAGAACAATTACGAAAAATATTATCATTGTTGTTTTAACCACCATAAACTACTAAATTTGCAAATTTTGCAAGTTTTTCATCTTACTGATTTTCGAAAAAAAAGTACCAAACAATCGCATACCTTTTCAACATTTTCGTAATTCTTACCGCGAAGCTGAAAATATGAATATTGTTTCTAGAAGAAAACTTTAACGATTCCTATTTTAAATAAAAATTTCCGTCAAATCCAATTATTTAAAAAAAAATTCACCATTTTGAGAATGTAAACGACCATTCAGAAATAAAAATAAAATTTAATTAAATTTCCAGAAATTTATTAATGTTTATATGTAAATTGTGAAAATTTTCATCATCAGAAATCCAACATTTAGAATAATTTTACCTGTAAAAGAAAAAAAACCACTGATAACCACTGATTATCCATTCTTTGCTTACCTAACATTAACACTATATGTCTCATACAATTGTTTTTCCTAAAATCCTAATTTGCCCATTAATGGCGATTAAATGATAAATTTAATAAATGATAAATTTAAAAGTTTGAAAACTAATCAGTTCCAAAACCTTGTTCAACAAAGAACTCAGGCAAAAAATCGAATAACAACAGCAACATGAAACTTCTTCTATAACCTTTTTGACCACCTACTGCACAAACTTGCTACTTTTTATTAAAATTTTGTCCACTTAATCCATCTCTTGCATCTCTTCCAACTCGATGCCAGTTGAAAATTAATAAACTAACTCACTGTTTTTTGATTTTTACCGAAAAATAATTAATAATAATTCAGCAATCCGAATAAATGTATTGCGTATTCATTAAAAGAACAAGAAATTACCAAAAAAAATAATTTATTCATAAAATTTTCTAAAAAATCGTCCACTTGTTGGGAAGAAATTAATGGAAATGAGAATAAAAAATTTTTATTCCATTTAATGGAAGAAGATGAATTAACATACATTACTGTTAACATTTCAATAATTATAAAACATTTTGTAAAACCTAAACATTTTCTTATTTTCAGATGGGTCCGACCCAGATTTACGCGTGGAACGAACAACAACAGACACTGCAAAAATTCATTTATAAGTGTAATACTGCAAAAAAATCCATCATCACCAAACTTCATTTCACCTTCCACATTTTAATTTTATGTTTTTTTAAAAATTTTTTTATATGCAAAAACAACAATACTAATAAATTTCCTTAATTAAATCAAAAAAATTATAAAAAATTCTTGCATGACAATATTTTCCGGCTTTCTTATGCATCTGTTAAATAAGACCAGAAGATTTCCAAAATTAGTTTAATCTATTACTTATGAACCATAGAACTATACAGTTATGGAGAGAATATGAAATATTATAATAAAATTTATTTAAAATTTATTTTAAGTGCTTGATGAATAAAAGAACTAAGAAATATTCATTAGGCAACGAACTTTAAGTGCACTGATAAAAAAATCACATCTAATGGCTTCAAAAGCGTTCAGAAAGACTGAAAAAATAATTCAAACTTACTTCATGGTCAATATATGCTTTCCAGTATCGACCCGAATTCGTAAACTGCTTCACCAGTTTTTCGTAAAATGGTCGAACCAGTTCAATCGGCCTTGTCTTTAAAATAAACTATAAATTTTGGAAGATATTTGAAGAAAAAATTCAAACAATATTTTGATTTAAACAATTTAAACAATATTTGAAACAATAAAAGATAATTGAAACATATTCTTTCTAAATTTCTCCTTTTGATGAAAAATTTTAAATTTTAAAAACCCAAGTAAAGAATTAAGAATTAAGGCTTTTAAGAAATAAAGTAAAATAAAAAAACGGCTTAAAGACACGTGCTTCGAAACTTAAGAAATTTTTTTCGAGAACCATCAGAACCATCAGAAACCATGATGGATAATTCACCATTTTCTTCATTATAATTATTCCTACCTTATCAGGAAAGAGCCAGATTCACTTAATGGAGAGAAAAATGCCAGTGTGACTGCTGATACAAAAAATCATTGAAAAGAATGCCGAAAAAAAGCCAAAAATAAAAAGAAAAGAAAGGGAAGAAAAACAAAAAAATGATATGATTAGCTATATATTGGAAAAGATTAAAGTACATAACCGTATAATAAATCAAACAAAACGCTAATAAAAACATTCATCTTTCGAATGGGCATAATTTTCTTCAATCTCCAGCAACTTCAGCAAACCTCAAAACCTGTTTTGTCTCAATAGCTCTTCTCTTTAACCGTTAAATGCCCCATCGATAATCCCAGCCCTCATGATCCTGCCTTATGCAGTTTAACAGCTTACAACTATAGGTGTGGTAAAATATAACATGAAGTTTTTTGAAAAAGCAGTAAGAAAAATGGAATGTGGGTTAAAAAGTGGTTTCAAGATTACTAGATGAACATGGCCGCACTTTGAAATATGATGTTGGATAACAGGTATCAGTGAAAGCATCGCGGAATTTAAAAAGTTTAGAGAATTCAGAGTTCGACAGGATCCAAAATGTCGTCAAATGATGGGTTAGGGCTGCATTTTTAGAGTGAAGGGAGTTTTAATAGGAGATACCCGCCAATTTCAAAGAAATGTGATTTTCGAATAACACACAGACATACTAACATGGCAAATCATTATAAATTATTATCATTACAAATTACAAATAATAATTAAACAATTATAAGATTCTTAAGTAAATTTACTTGCGACTCGCGCAGCAAAAGGTTCCATGCGTCCACGTCAAATGGATTTAACTCAATTCGCCTTTCGGGACTCACAATTGATAGAGAACTCATTTGCCCCTGAAAAATTCATTAGTTTACATAAATCAAAAATTGAAACAATTAACACAAAAAGAATAATAACTTGCAAATTAAGTAATAATGAATGCAAAAATGAAGAGAAAAAAAGAAAGAAAAAATATCCTAGATAAAATATATAGAAGTATAAAATAAAAATCTAATTATTCCATTGGTCTTATTTGTTTATGGCCACGCCTTGTTTGGAAACACACAAACTAATTAGGTAAACGAATAAACGAATCTAATATAGTCAAATCAGAACAGAGAAAAACTATGCCAAAAAAATATTTAGAAATGTGACGACTTGTCCGCCGACGACTGTTTTATCAAATCATTAACTATCACAAATTAAGTTTAGATTTGAACAGACTCAGATAACAAATCAAATTACGTTGAAAAGAACCCCTCTAACCCAAAACGAATACTAAAAGATCGAATGAGCGCAGAGGCAAAAATTAATACAACAACCGGGAGCGTGCCGAATACCCACAGCAGCACAACCGTCGCACAACTTGAATTTTGCTTTGCAGCTTGCAACCTAAGCTTTTCCGAAGAAGCAGAGAATACATTCATTTGTTTAGATACGAATGAGGAAATGTGAAAAGGCAAATAATAAAATAGTGCTTTAAATTGAAAAAATGAAAATAGAAAATAGTAAAATTTCAAAATAAATTATAAAAGCACAAAATTATCATCGTGACACCACTTTCCCTATCGATTCCATCACAAGAAACATGGCGCTTTTACGCTACCCAACCGCCTGAGACTCAACGACCTGCCAAATTTAAAAACCCCGAAGATTTTCCAAATATTTTCCGAAAACAACCCCGTTATTTTATCGACTACAGTACCGCCCTAAGGTTGTCTAAAACTTTCGCTTTAGTACACATTTATGGATTTGGAGCTCTATAGTTGTCCTACAGACAACACAAAACCACGTCCACTTTTTAGAATTAATGAAGTTCTACTCTTTTTAGTCTTTTTCAGTGTTGTTTTTGCAAGCCTAAATGAGTGAAGTGATTTTTTTGGTCACGCAGTATTTTTAAAAGAGATTGCGACCTAGGCCTTATGGAAAGAGAGCGGTAATAATCTTATCCAGCTAAGAACAAAATTTAACGCGCGGCCTTGCGTTCTACCTATTTAGAGCAGTCGTCGCAGAAATTCGCAGATATTCCTTTCATTAACTGGGATCACAGATGTTTCTGTGCATGCACCAGTTGCTATAAGCACCGTATTTTAGTCCATTAAAACTAATTTAAAAGAGTAAATTCAAAAGTATTTTAGTCGATTTTTATGAAAGTATAAGAAATGATACAATAAACAGTAATCAAATTTAATTCGAGAAATCTGTAATAGAATAAGATTAAAATTTTGAGGAAATATTCGACCAATTAGCCGAAAAAGATAATTAAATCAAATTGAAAGAATCCGCAGAGATAGAAAATATAGAATAAAATAAGAAAAATTTGAAGCAAAGAAGAAAAGATGTGACTGAAAGTTATTCGAAAATGAGGTAAATAAACCTGCGAAAACCTGACAAAGAAATTAAATTAAGGCAAATTAATTAACGCAGAAAATTAAATTAAATTAAGGCAAATTTATCATCAAAATGGGAATAAATTACGTAACTATTTTCGAAATTAATAATCGATAAAAAACTGCTGCTTTATTTTTTATATTTATTTTTATTAATAAAGTATTCCTCATCTTTATGTCAGTAGTAGTTTTATTATTTTAATTATAATTTATTTATAGCTTAATAATTAAATGATTAAGCAGAGGTAGAGTTACATCACAGGTAAGTAGAAAGAAAATTATAAATGGCACTCTTCAGAGAAAAACATACAAAAATCTTACAGTTCAGTCCACCAATTGCTACTGAAAATCAAAAAAGCATAGGAATATGACAACGAAACACTAATCTATTCATCGTTGAATTTAACTAAATTCGCATTCTTTCGTACAGTATCACCAACTTTACACAGTATCGAATGAATAACTGCATCATATGGAGCTCTGACATAAAACTTTTTAAACAGTGATAATTTATTCATTATAATTCGCAAATATTATACTAGAAATAATACTAGAAATATCCCTAAATTGTTTATTCTTCCAATTAAAAAAAAATAAAACAACTTTCAAAAAACCATACTTCCATTTAGTAAATTATTATCAATTATCTAGAATTAACAGTTAATTTATACCTTATGATATATTCCATTTTCATAGCTACCATAACAATCAGCGATTGCCCAGCAGTAACAGAATCACCAGGCTGCACTAAAATTTTCTCAATCACACCTGGCATAGGTGCAATCGCACCGACATTTGTAATGTTTGTCGTATTTTCATCGAAAAATCCACGTAATAACGAATATTCGCGATGTTCGTCGCCGAAAACCTGAAAACTTTAAAAGAAAAAGTGAGATTTCAATTTTAGACAAGAATTTTTTTAGGCAAGAAATCGGATTCTGCTGATCGGTGATCAAAAAACCATAGTGGCAAACCACTTGAATTTCTATCCATAAGCGACTCTCCCTACTAACAACCAGTGAAGAGAGTCTAACCGAAAATAATAAATGTTGACCATAGTTAACTAGAATTGATTTCTGAATGCATCGAAAAAAAAACTAACAATAATTTTTTTATCAACAGTTACAGCTTTCACTTTACGCTTTTCATTTTGAATTTCCATTATAAATTTTATTTGTTCATCAAATCGATCAACTTCATCGACTGATATTTTAAAACTTTTCATTCCCACCTTGATTACCATTTTTCGTTTGCGAAAAATTTCAACATTATATAAATGCCCATCGATACTGATATCTACTTTCGCAGTGTGGTTCAATCTATGAGAAAAGGAGTCATTTGAAAGTAGTTAAGCTAAAACATTCAATATTGCAGTGATTATATAAAATAATGATCACTTCACTTAAATATTTTCAAAAAGAGAAAAGAGAACCTAAAGTAATCATTTTGCAGAAAAAGATTATTTCGATCCAACTGATTTTCGTCAAATAGCAATTTTGATACGATTGCTTCACATATATCAACTTCGGATGGATTCTTCTCAGAAAATAATTCTTCTTCATGCTCGTTAATAAATTCGGTACACACATTTCCCTCCAATACATTTTTCATATAAATTCGTTTCTCTTCAGTTTGATTCTCATTTATTTTCCTAATTAACACAAATAAATCCATAAGAATCGCTTAATATGTTTCTTGTTCACCTTTATGTATACTGTTTATACTGTTTTTAAAAGATTCCAAATAGCAATATAAATCAATTCTGATGAAAAGAATTAATTTATTATCAATTGGAGCGAATTTATAAACGATAAAATTCGTAAAGAAAATGAATAATGAGATGGAAATAAATACTTTTATAAAATGATCGTGATTCAGAATGGAACGCATAAAAGTCACATTTGTTGAAAATCCAGCAATATGGGTACAATTCAAAGCTCGTTCAAGTTTTTTTATTGCTTCCAAGCGATTTTCACCCCAAACGATAATCTATAAAATCCAATCCACAATTTTAAAAGTGATATCACGATGTTTGAGTGTACAAAAATCCGAGTAAAGCTGGCGACTCACCTGTATTTCTATCGTCAAGGAACTGCCCAATACGACAAGCCAGTGGAGCGAGTAAAACTAATAATAGTGAGGACTCTTTAAAAAAAAAAAATTGAGGAGTTTTCATAGTTTTCAAAGAGCTTTCATATAAATTCTCTCATCTTCCACTTAAAACTTAAAAGAAAACTAAACAATGACAAATTCGAAGTCATTTGAACAAATAATAACCAAATAATTTCACGAAAAAAATTATAAATTTAAATAAAGTTTCCAAATATAAACCAAATATACCTTTGCAATCATTGGATCATAATATACGGAAACCTCATCACCTTGTTGTACTCCAGTATCAATTCGAGCATTTGATGGAAAAAATATATGTTTCAGTGAACCTAACAAAATGCACAAAGCAAAATAAACTATTTATTTAATGGCACTTTATTTATTGTTTACCTGCAATAGGAATAAATCCAGCTCTTGTATCCTCAGCATATATCCGAGCTTCTATTGCATGCCCATTTAAATGAATATCAGACTGCAATAATGGTAATCGCTCTCCTTGTGCAACCTTTAGTTGCCATTCCACTAAATCTGTACCTGTGATTGCTTCACTCACCGGATGTTCAACCTTAATGTCGAAAAATTCTGAACTATAAGAAAAAAAGAAAATTTTCATATTTTTAAGGCAAACAGAATATTACTATTGAATGAATTATCTAATTAATTAAACAAATTTTTATAAATAGTAACGGGATCTGAAATATAAAAATATACAAAAATATTTTCTAGTCACAAATCTTTAAAAAAGATATAAATTAAATTCAATTATTTTAAAAAAATGCCAGAAAAAAAAGGATATAAAAATCGCACTTGAAGTCGTGTATTCATCTCCATGAAAAAAAATTCCTTTTGCCGATTCATGATAAATTCAACTGTACCCGCGCCAACGTAAGATACAGCAGATGCAGCTCTTACTGCACTTTCGCCTAACTGTTTTCTTGTATAATCATCGATAGCTGGTGCAGGTGCCTAAAATTTATTTTATTATATAATTTTTCATAAAGCAAAAAATTTTTCAAAAAACAAAATCGAAAAAAACAAAAAAGTAAGAGATATAAACAATGAGAAAATTAATAAATCAATAAAAAATAATTTTAATGCTAATTTTAGCAAATTTTTTTAATTCTAGCAAAATTAAAGACCTCTTCGATGATTTTCTGATGACGGCGTTGAATGCTACAATCTCTCTCCCAAAGATAAACGCAATTTCCATGATGATCACCAAAAATCTGAAAAATATTTATTTAAATTATTTCTCACTATACCATTTTAAATATATGCTCCACTATTAAAGAGATCAAATTACTGAATGAAACATAAAATAAATATTGATGGAATTTATACTTGAACTTCGACATGTCGAGGCTTTTCTACAAATTTTTCAACAATCATTTCATCATTACCAAAAGCTTTCATCGCCTCAGATTGCGCAGATTTTAATTTTTCTTTAAATTCAGATTTATCCCAGGCGATCCGCATTCCCTTTCCACCACCGCCACAAACAGCTTTTATCATTATTGGATAACCTTAATTATTAAAAAATTATAAATTATTAAAAATATATAAGTAAAAAGAAGTAAAAAAAGTGAAGATATGAAGAAAATTTTCATATTATATTATAAAATTATTTAATCAGTATATATTTGAAAAATAAAAATTTTTTTAAAATATTTTTTAAAATAACTTTTAAAATTTAAATTGATAGAATCGATTTAAATTAAATTTCGGAAATTAAATTAAATTAAATTAAATTTCAGAACTCTTCGTTTTTTCACTCTTTAACTTAATAAAATCTAATTTGACCCTTAAATTTGCATAAAACATCAAAAAATAAACCAATCTTTTCAGCTTCCCGCAATAAGCATTCATCGCTTTGTTCTTTACCATGATAACCATTGATGATAGGAATTCCAGCATCAAACATTATTTGTTTAGAAACATTCTTAGCGCCCATATCTCTTATTGCTTGAGATGATGGACCAACAAATATAAGACCTTCTGAAGCACAACAATCAGCAAATTTAGCGTTTTCACTTAGAAATCCATAACCTGGATGAATCGCCTGAAAATAATACCCATATTTTGAAATAATATAGACCATCAAGGTCCAAATTTAAGAAAAATGAACAACAAACCTGACAGCGCGCTTTTATCGCCGTATTGACAATTTTGTCAATATTTAAATAACTTTCTAATGATGGTGCAGCACCTATGTGATAAGCTTTATCGGCGAATTTCGTATGCAGTGAACGCTTATCAGCATCCGAATACACCCCGATAGTTTCTATACTCATTTTTCGACACGTTTTCATTATCCTAAATTGATAAATCAACGAAATGCAAATATACCTTAAATACCCTGCAAAAATGCAACTTGAATGTACTATTTCCTGCTTAAAATTAGATTAAATGTGCACTACTCAATAAAATTGAATTGCTACTATCTAAGATGTCGAAAAAAACCCGAATTTGCCAAAGTTATCGAAATTTTCTATCGGAATGAAATTTACAAGGAACAAGGAGAATGCATGCATGAGTACCAAAAGCCATATAAACAGCAATACATTGAATAATGTGAACCTCACGGCAATTTCACCTCGATTTGCTATAAGAAGTCTATCGATTCTTTTAATAACTGGCATTTTTGATAGGGAACATCTTGAATTCCACGATCCACCACTTTTCAACAATCCTTCGATCCTCATTATCCTTCTGGAAAAAACTTATTGAAATTCTTGAGATAACAGGGTAGACGTTGCTTCAGGCGAAGACAAGTAGAATGCTTATCAGGAAAAATGAAATCTTAATGGAACCACAAGTAAATCCATTGCCGCATGACTCTCCAAACAAATTAGCAATCAAAGGAGCCAGCCAATACGCTATTATAAGAAAAAAATATCGGAATTACATTTTATATCGGAACATTTTGCAATATGACTGATAGAGTTATACTTTTGTAATATTTTAAAACTTAAAGAAGCATGAAAATATCCATGGTGAAAATAACTCAGCGATGTCTGATAAGGAAGAAAATGCAAATGGGAATCAGAAGGGAACGAGAAGGCAAAAATCGACGTGGCACGCTGCCGGATTACGGCTTGCAGCTAATACCAAATATGTAAATACCAAAGCACAGGTGACGCTCTGTCCAAACAGCATTTAACGTAACAAACAAAAGGAAAGTGATGAATGATGCACGTGGCTAGCGTATTGCATATTCAAAAGTGCCCAAGACGAACGCGTGGACGCGAATTTGAAAGCACAACAGCTGAGCAGCGGATTCACGCCACAACAGTCGTCATATCAGACGTTGCCCTGCTTGTCATCCGAGTCTACGTGTGTGCGTGTTCGTGCACACGTGTGTACGTGCAGTGCAGGCACTTGAGATATGTGCACGCGAGTTCAGTGTGTTTATTTCTTCCTTAGCTTTCAATTTTTCTGGATGTTATTACTTGGGAAACATCTCTTTCAGCAGCCTTTAAGTCTATATTTCTTAGTCTATCGAATACCTACATCGTAGCCCCAACCAATTTCATCCAATTCCCACAGAGAAACTCCCACGATTATTCTCTTATTTTTCTACGACGTTTTCCATGTAAAATGGGAGCAATTGAAGGAGACCGACAATTAGAACTCTGAAAACCGGCTCAGATGCTATTTTTTAAATTTTGTTTTTTACATTTAATATTTTAATTTGTTTTTAATATTTTATGTTTGGTAGATTTAAATAATATGAATAACGTAATTAAATTAAAATGGACTTTTCTTCGTCTAACAATTTTTTAATAATTTCATTCAGATGCTGTTTTAACTTTATTTAAATCATTTTTCAAATATTTTATTTTTGAAAATTTTTTAAAATTATTTTTAATATTAATTTATTTTAAGAAAAAATGAGTCGAACGGGTATATGGCGAAACACATGGAATACCTTTTTGCAATCTTTTAAACGGAATTCTGTTGGAATGAAAAACTTTATTGGAGAAGATTCAGTTGGCAATAAATTTTATGAAATTTGTGAAGGAAAAATGCATAAAATCAAGCGGTTATTTTTTATTCGGAATTGTTTTCAACTTTCCACCATTCTTTTGGCAAATTGAACGGCTGGTAATTCTCGGTTCATTTACCAGTTCTCTTCTATTTCTACTAAGGTGTAAAAATACATTAATTTGTATATACCACGCGGTCACTTTGTTCGCCAGTAAATAATAATCATTTGCTTTATCTGTCCTGCACCTATCATTGTTCACCCCTGCTCTTCTTGCCTTTTTTTTTCTTTTCTTCAATAATAAATGAGGGTCTCTATGGCCAATAACGGAAATATATTTAATTTTTTATCATCATTATTTTTATTTCTTATATTTAAAAAAAATTTTTAGTATCTATGAGCCAGCACCAGAAATCGACATTAAGCCATCTCCAGAATGGGAATCGTGGCTGCGTGGGACTCGGCGATTCCCTCCGAGCTCCGAAGAATTAGAAATCAATCGTTTAAAACTTGAGGTTTTCCTTTTTTTGTAGTATTTGTTTCAATTATTTTTCAGTTATATGCTTAATAATAAATAATTAATTATATAATAATTTTATAATAAGTAATTTCAGTTACATTTATAATATTAATGTTATAATATTAATAATATCATTAATGACGTAAATTATTTTTTCGCTGCTTACATAGTATTTTTTGCATAACAAATGGTTTGAATATTGGAGGAACCCAACTTTTAACTTTATTGAACATTTCACTTTGCAGTTTGGTTATATAATATAGATTTTTGTGGTGAAATAGGTGAACAAAGAATTGTAAATATGGAGAATGTTTAGTTCAATCATAGATTTCTTGTTTTTTCTTGTAAAACGTTTTTTAGGCGAAAAACGAAAAATTATCAAATAATAAGATACCGGAAGTTGATGCGACAAAAAGTGGTGAATCAAAGCAATTTCCTTCATATAAAGATTTTGAGATCCAACCTGGCGTGAAAAAATGACGTGAATTGTTGTTTATTAGTGATTGTGATAATATTAATTCGTAATTTATCTATTATACACTTGTTTCAGATGTAAATATTATGGCAAAAAAACCCTTTTTTTTCCACGAACTATTCAAATGTGCGTAAAAACAAGCACTTCTGAATGCCAACAGTTGAGAATAAATAACTAGAATATACCGCATTTTTCAATTTGTATATTTTTTCAAAACCATGCCTTTCGATCAAATTATTTCCACAAGTTTTATTAGTTTTGAATGCAATATCTTATAATTAATAAATTTTTAATCACCATTGGTGATTTATGCTAATTCTGTTTGATTTCAGATAATTATTTCATTTTCAGCTGGTTTTTCTAAATTTTTTCGCTTTCAGTAGTTACAAATACTTTCCATAGTAAATGCGACCTTTAATAAAAGTATAGCTTAATATAATTATAAATAATAATATGCCATGCATTTTCATATTTTACTTGTAAAAAATAGAATAATATTTGAAGGTAGTGGATTGGTGCTTTCCTAGTATGCGTTAATATTTTAGAAAACTTTGACAATAGCAAAAATATTGATTACAGCACGTATTTATAAAAACTTTATTCTCCACTTCAAACTTGCGTAAGTAATAAAACCTCAATATGCTGATACGAAAAACAATATTCGATACAAATTAAATCCATCGACTAAAAAGTAACTAACTTAAAACAAATAGGAAATGATTAAACAATGTAAGGCGATACTAAACGAAGTGTAAAATACTGAAATGTTGGACCCGACCGCCCGGATCCCTTGAAAATGTGCTTCAAAATAAGCAAGGAAGAATTTTCTTGAGAAGAATCTACTACTGTAGATCGACTTTAATCTTTTATAAAACGGAATAAGGAACAAAGACTCGATTAAGTTAATGAAAGGCGGTCATCATCATTTTGAAATAGTCATTTTAGAAAAACGTCGCATTTCGCGACATTATTTGTGATGCGACGTAGTTAAATCCATTTTGTTAATGGGAACTTCAATGTAAATACATCGTTTTTAATTAAAATACATCGTTTTTATAAAAAGTGAAATTAGGCGATAGTCTAACCAATTCGCGAATCGGTATGAAAATACTTGCACCAATTTGCGAAATTGTATATTTCATTGTCGACCAGGCAGAAATATTCATTTTTAGAAGTTTCAGGCTTTATGAACAGTCGATTCGCCATTTTAATGAAATGCTTCATTAATTCATCCTCGGTTTTGACGAAGCCGAATCGGTTTTACAAAGTAATTCTTATTGCGTCTTAGCATTAATGTTTTTCCAACTGATTCATGCATTTCATTTCACTGTTAAAATTAAAATTAAAATTTCCTTACAAATTTTATTCCTTTTTATTCCTTTTATTATTTAATCGTTTAAAGTAAAGATTCGAAGATTTATGTTTTTCGTCTATAATATCTCTTTTTATCAATTTTTAATTTTATAAAAATTTTCATCTCCACTGAGAGCGAACTTTACAAATTCATGAAAAACTTTCTGCGATATTTTAACATATTACAAAATTATTATTAAAGATTGTTACAGATGGCAAGTGTGGCCATAGTGGACAATAATGATTTATATGTTAAATATAATATACGTATTGATGATCGCCTATTGAAGACGCCGGAACATAGAACTGTAGAGGTATTTACTCTAGAATTAATTTGCTCTCGATTTTGGTTTATATCGTGTTAGTAACCAAGGTGAAGATTGTTAATACATCGAGAACCTGCTGGCTGGAAAAATTCAATAAGCCTGTAATTAATAGTGCATGTATATAATATTAAGTGGATTTTTTTTCAGGTTGATTCAAAACCTTTGGCATTAGCTATAGCGCAAGAATGGAATTGTCAAGGAAAGAAAATAGATATGAATTTGATGCGACTTACGGGTCTTATTTTTACTGCAATTGATAATCCTAATTTATTGATAAGGTTTGTCGTGAATTTCATTTGTATATGATTCTTTTTAAGTATAAAGTGAGGCAAAAAGCCATATGCTAGAATTAGTGACAAAATAGATGATAAATGCAAAATGCAACAACCAAAAACCCTATTGCATCAACCAAAAACCCTACCAGAAATGTACACTTTTGGAAGAATTAAAAAAATTGCAACAACTGAATTGAAGAATTAAAAATTTTTTTCTAGTCGAAGTTCTACATTCCTTAATAATAAAATATTAATAATCTAGTAAAAAAAATAGTAGGATATATTTTTTTAAATATTATATATTATATTATATATATAATTTGTATATAATTCATAATTATATAATTCACTATACTCGATGCGATGGCAATGGTGTGTAATCCTGTTAAGAATCGCCTCTTAAGATGTGAATTCTTTTAGAACAAACTTAACCATACGCGCCTTCTGTTGCCCCAGAAATAACTGATTTGATTTTTGAACCGTATGTTTGCAATTGCGGTACGCCAACAGACGAAGAAATAATCTCCGTTATCCATGAACTTAAGGCTAGTAAGATTCCTGGAGAAGATGGTCTCCTGACTGAACTCTTCAAGTATTGCCCATCGTCTTTCATAACGGGCCTTTAACAAATCTGCTTTCTGGTATAGAAGAAAGAGATATTACCAGATGACTGGATCAAAGCAATTCTGCAGAATTGTTTCATCGTACTAAAAGCCAATTAAGCAAGCGAAAATGGTGATCTTTGAAAAAAAGATCGAAGAAATAAGCAATCATTTCAGTTTTATGAAAAGCTATGAAAAGCATACGCTCCAATTCCTAAGAAAAGGTTACAGGACACTGTGACAATTACTGAGAAATCAGCCCACTAAAAATCTCAGCCAAAATTTTTGCTTCCCTTTTACTCAATAGACTTATGGCAATATGAGACGCTTTAACCAAATTGGATTCAGGAAGTGGACCGTCAACCGTCATTTGCTTTATTATTGCTTTATCTACCTTGATTTTACAGCTGCCTTCGATTCGACTAATACAACGGCGTTTTCGAGAATGATAGAACACGACGATGTTCCAGAAAAAAACATTCGGCTTATAAAGGCATTTACAGAGCGTATGTCGGTGCAGGTCTGTGTATATGGGGAACTGACTCCTTCGAAATAAGAACTGATGTCCATCAAGGTTGTGTCCTTTCCCTTATAGAATTCGACTATTCGATAAACTAAATAATTCCAGTTTTCCCGATTATGACCATGTCATGTTTCGGTAGAAGCTTTATTAGCAGTTGAAGTTCCGCATAGAACTTATCTTTATCACGGTCTTCTGCTGACAAAGGAGCATAAACACTAATGACCGAGATATTGCAGAACTTATCTTTAAAGTGGGCATAAATCATACGGTCGCTTACTTTCTACTCAATCAAAGCGGAATGGATATGCGAATCGGTGCGCCATTTCGCTCCGAGTCAAGCACCACAGTAGTATAGCCAATATCTTTGCTCAGAGCCAGGACTAGTGTTCACTCGAGAAGTGAGGACAAGCAAGTGACATCCACACGATATTTAGAAAGTGTGTGGGCTGTGATCGCTTTGTTTGCAACGTCCATAAGCGTTCTGACATTCCACGCTGATACGGCCTTCGAGCACATTTTATTCATGTGTCCTGGGATCGTTTTATGCCCTAAATGTATACTTATCGCATTACCACCGGGCTGGAGGTGGCTCGAGGTATCATGCGCATCGGAGGACATGGACGCCGTGTCAAGAGAATCTAGCCCTTTCGCCATTATTTATATATGATACTATAAGGTAGAAGGAAAATTAGAAAATTAAAAAAGTTAGAGAACTAAAAAAATTGAATTTAAAAAGAGAAAAAAATTAACCAGTAATGAATTGCTTGAAGAAGACTGATATCAAATGAATTATAAGTAATATAAGTGAATAGAATAAATCATAAAAAGTAAAATAAAAAAAACCGAAAAAACAGAAAAACGAAAAAAATATTGGGTCTAGACTACAAATTTTTTTTTTTTATATATGTATCGGGAATGATCTCTTAAGGAGATTTTGTATATTTGTATATATATTTGTATTCTTTGCATATTTGTATACAAATTTTCTTATCATAAGAAATTGTCGGAGAATTAGTTGAAGGAATGAATTAATAATAGAATAGTAGTTTTTTTTATCTTGTTTATTTCTTTTTTTAAGTGTTGATGAAAAATATTTATAAGAATTTAATTAAATAATAATTATTTCTTATTAAATAATCTATTTGTATTTTTAGTGAGGATATTATTTACAAACTGCTCGATTATTTAACTACTGATACTCTTTTATATCATGCAGTTGGTGATGAAGAATTGGCCACTCTACAATCAGAAAAGTGGGATCCGATTATTAAATGGGCCAATAACGAATTTGGTTTACAGCTTAAACCTAGCTACCAAATTTGCGAAGGTCATTGTAATTTGTAATTTTTTTACGTAAAAGATGTGCAAATTGCATAGATTAAATGAAGATTGAGAAATGGGAATTTTCAATTTTCGAATATTTTTTAAATCCAGTTTTGTTACATTTTATAGTCGCGTTTTGTGATTTGTTCCATTTCAGCAGTCAATTTGAGTGATGATTCTTTAAAAATATTAAGGAGTTATCTTAATAAATTTTCATTTCCCGCTCTTATTGGGATTAGTTATGCTGTCGAATCTTGCAAATCTTTATTGTTGATCTTGGCAGTCATGGCTAAAAAGCTAGAGGTTTCCGATGCGGTCAAATACGCTCTGCTTGAGCAACAATTCCAAACTGAAATTTGGGGAAAGGTAAATTAATTTTTAATATATAAAAATTTCAAAATTTATTTATCTTAATTATTTTGAGGTCGAATTTTCACATAGTATTGAAGAAGAGGAATTGACAGCAAGGCTTTCTGCTGGTGTTCTATTCGCTTATTTGGTATCACATAATTGGAACCAGTCTTAACCAGTCTTACTGTGTTTGTAAATATTCATTTTTCATTTCATATAAATTGAATGCATCTAGATTGCATTTGTGAGCTTAATGTTTTTGATAACGCATTTGCACATTTTCATTTTCCAGTTCTCAGTTTGATTCCTTTCTCCAGTTTATTTAGAATTCCCACATGATCCTAAATTTTTATTTTGTTACCGAATTTTTCTATGGCCTCTTCATTGTTGATCAATCTTTTATAGAATGGTGCTGAAAGGCCAAAAAGTGCAATCGGATATAATCGAAGATATCTAGAATGCTGACCAACTAATACTTTAATTTTCCTTAATTAGAAAAAAGCCATGCGTTGATCAAAGTTTGATTCGCGCAGGTAAAGAGACTGAATAAAGATTTTACAGAAATGTGGATTGAAGATTTCAATATTATTTGTTATAAAGGGCTTACTGTTTTCATTTTGCTCTGAAGAATTTAAATATTATTTTGTACTGAAAGCAAAAATGTCAGATATTTCAACACAAAATTTAAAATCGTATTGGCTTCTTTTTGCAATCATACGTCATGCGCTGAAAATTTAATTGTTTTTTATGCCATTCGATAGCCTGCGAAATTCTCAGTGGGTGAGAAAAATCACTTCATTCACTAAACGATTTTCTCTGAAGACGATTCGATGCCATTGAGTCCAGCGAAATTTGTTCCATAGCTATTCGAACCAAGTTTAAAATATCGTTATTTTCTGTTCCGACAGTTTACGTCAAGAATGTTTTGCTTGGTATATGTCGCCTACTGAAAATTCATAGCAAAAATGCTGGAAAAAGTGGGATGCTACTATTTCGATTTCATTATGAATTTGCAGCATTAATGAATGAAGCAAAATCCAGTTGGTAGAGTTTGGAGATTGTCTTAAAAATATGACACCTGCAACAAGTGCATCATTTAAGCAATTGTTATATAAGAGACATTTGTTTAAGTTATGTAAAAATATCTCGTTTAGGTTTTTATCATATTAATATCAAATAATATTAATACAAAAATATCATATTAATTATAATTCATATCTAATTCTGTATTGAATATTTTTTGTTTTCTAAGGTAACCTGTGGCTTCAGCCAGAGAAAGGTAAATTGTTTGGCCATTGGTGTACCGTTCTTTATGCTTAATACGAATTTCAGTGGCACGCTGATAAAATATTGTTAAAGGAGTTAATTATAATGAAAAAAATGAATGGAAAGCGCGGTGAATTTGTATGCATCATAATTTCATTCTTTTGAAAATGCTCATCATTTTTCTCTTCGCTGACTACAAACGATGATTGTGGGTTTCGGCAATGCGTTGCTCATGAAAAGAGATACTGCTGGGTTTGCAGCACTAATTTCTCTTTCAATGGAAGATGAACAGGAATCAAGCCCATGATTCTTGTTTTTAATCGAAATAATATACCGCTGGCTTTTTTCCCACCATATGCAGTCAAGGATTAGCTAGATGTTTAATATGTATAATGTTACTAATAATGATATTGTTAGTTGCTTCTTTCGTTTGTTTTGTACTATCTTTATATGTATCTTTTCCATTTTCGTGAAATAATCCAGAAACTCAATGCTCAGTTGGCAACTGACTAAGCGCCTCAGCTTAGAAGGGAACTCAAGATATGCGAACACTTTGCTTATAAAGCCACAAGATTGCAAAAAATTTAATATCTAGAAAATATGATAAATTTTCGCAACTTTTCTCGAAAAGAGGGAAGAATGAATGGAATAGATGCCTGCCATTTCGCTGTTACCATATTCGCACACTTTTTTTCCATCTATCAGATACTTGGAAATTTCTCATATTTCATATTAGTATAATTATTATAAGCAAAGAGAATAAGGAGAAATTATTATTATTAATATCATTATTGCCATTATCACTGTTATTATTACATTTTTGATGTTCTAAAAAATGACAACGTTTTTCATCAATTATTTTTGATTTTTAATTTCAACATATAATATATAATAATATGTACATAATGTAATAATGTGTATTATTAATGTATCATTATTTAATAATATATTATATATTTTTACTAAGACTCCTCATCGTTACTGGTCTCGTTCCAATAGCTTGTCATATTGAGCAAATATGCCAAGGGTCCTTTGGCGATAGAAATACAGGTGAGTCGCCAGCATCACACGGATTTTTGTACAGGTTTACAGGTATGCGAAGAATCGAACCCCAGCATCGGCGCTCCCAATCGAGCAACAACCCACTGAGCCATTCTATCCCGTTAATTACATATATATATATATATATATATATGTTTAATTTAATTTAATTTTATTTAATTTATTTTATTTATTAATTTTATTTTATTTAATTTTATTTATTTAATTTTTAATTTAATTTTTAACATATACGCACAGTTTATAGCGAATTCAGTGGTAATTTGAAGTAAGCTTTATTTCTTTATGCTATGACATTTTTCTTTCAGAAGATTTCGTTTTATTTCTCATAAAAGATTTGATTTCTTATTTCAAAGAAAAGATATTTTTTTTTAGAAGAAGAAAGATATGTAATTATTTTCATTTTATACTTGTAAATCTATTTTTTTTCAAAAATTCTTACTGCATTATATTTTGATAATTTTATTTCCTGTAGAGATTTTCTGTGGAATTTTAATATTGAAGTATAGTAAAGATGTATAATATTGGGAAAAATTTTTGCCGAGTGTCTAAGGGACGATTGTTATGAGTTCGAGATTTTCTGCGTTATTCACTTTGTATCTTAGAATATTTACCATTTCGGATGCGGGGGATCTGCTTAAGTAATTTTAGCAAAGTGATTCTCTCTGAAGAGGGAGGGAGAAGAGGGAGTATCTGAAAGGCCAGTGGAGCCAACCAAGCCAGAAATGATAAGTGAAGCAGAAAACGAATAGTTATCAAAAATTTATAGCATTTCCAATACTGCTGGGTGTCTTTAATTAATAATTCATGAAGACAAAGCAACAAGAAAAATGTTAGAAAACACGATAAGATTCTTCGAATCGAAATAAATTAAGCAGTTTATTTAGATGGATGGCGGTGACGACTGCACAAAGCAAATCAACACTTTTTAATTTTTAATCGAGCCCCTTACGAATTTCCTTCTGCCGAGTCGCATTCGAACTCTATTTTGCGACGTTTTTCTTTTTCGCGATTCAGCTGATGTTGAAATTATACCACTTTTTAGCAAAAAAGATTTTCTTCTTAGGAATAGAACTGATTTTGTTTTACCGATAAAATCTTCGAATTCAATCAAAAAGTCTTTCATACAAAAGTTTGGAACTGAAAACAAAAACTTTGAACCAAATTCTACTAAATTTTCAATTTGAGAAACAAATGAAGTTTTTTATTTTTTTATTTTTTTAATAATAATCAAATTATATAATCAAATCATACAATTCTCAAATATAAATGCTTTATATGCTTTCAAATTATATATCTTCTTCTTCTTCTAACAGCTCTCACCTCTACTGGTTAGGCTGACTCCACTTTTCTTTCACCGGTGAGTTTTACCGGTGATGATAGAATGCCATTCGTATTTTTTTATATATGATTATGAAAAATGAAACTAGGTGGTGTTAAGTAGTATTAAATAGTTTTCTTACGAATTTGTGAATGAGTAGATCAATCTTACTTTTTTTGCAAATTATTGTTCCCGAATTGTCTATAGCGCATGCTCTTCTCGTGATTTCTGGCCTTCCGCACAATTTTCCGCACTGCTCCCTTATAGCTCTGATTGGTGAAAGAAATTTCATAGTTCGTGCTCCATCGAATTCGCCTGTAAATCATATTTACAAAATTTAAAAGAGAAGTTTGGCACAAAAAGGAATGCATAGCTGAAGTTTAAGATTTCCTTGCCACGAATCTTTTGTAGCAAAAGATTGAGAGCAACAATAGTACCGGCGAAGAGCGTTTATTGCCTTTTAAAGATATGTTTCTTCTAATATCTCTCACCATCACTGGTTAGAATGGCTCTCCTAGCTACAAAAGTAAAATATCCGTCTCCAATCTGTTTGGTCCGACGTCATCGTCGACAGTAATAGAAGCCATTCCTTTCTCTATCATCTCTATCATCTAAGTCCATATATTGCTGGTTCTCCTGGTCCTTTTAAAATCTTTCCTGACCTTGCTTTTGACTCAAGGCTTAGCCAGCAACGAAATATGCATCAATTCCTGTGGTGATTGACGAAGAACGTGTTCTAATCAGCGAACAAGCGGTATTTAAGAGAAAATGCATGCAGTCGTGTGAGATTTATCCACTCAACAGACCCGTGAAAACCATGACATATTTAAACGTATTTCTTGGTTTTCTTGGTTTTAAGATTTCTTGGTTTAAAGCCATGCATCACAAATGAACTAGCGATTAAATGAAAGGAAAAGATTAAAGTTTACAAAAGTTTTTGTCATTAAGCCAAGGAAAATTAATTGGAAAGATTTTCGCACTGGGGATAAGATAACGCTATTGAATGGTTTCGCAGCTTTCAATTCTTTATCATATTGAAGATAACTTACATATGAACGAATTCTTTTCGATAAATTTGTAAATATCTCCGGAATTGATGCAGTAAGCGGAACGTATTGTGGGGATTATTAAAAATGCTATGAAAATCATTATTGGAAATATTTAAAACATAGGATTTCTTGGTGTAGTTTTGGTTTTGCTCGAAATTTGTAATTATAATTGAGTCAACCAGTTAATAAGGCAATTATCACCAACAGAAAATAATATAAACCGACTGGTGAATGGCGCGATTAAACGAGAGATGTAAACTTCAAGTTCTTTAATCGATTCCACATTAAACTGAAGTCACCTGGAACACTCACAAATGCGTAATTTCTTAAGCTCCTTTAGTGATGATAAAAGAATTAAAATAAATTATAAACAGCGTTTCAAAAGAAAATTTTACATAAATAAATTTAAAAATTGGAAAATGGAGGAACGTTGCCTACAAAAAAATTTCGAAAAATAATATCTTATAATAATAATAATAA